CAGTCCTTGGCGATGTCGAAAGACCACTCAAAGGTCAAGTGAGTCTTCTTGTCGTCGTCGACGAAGCTAGAGATGGCGTTGTAGTGACCTCTAGCCAGCATGCCGGAGGGGGCGTCCTCCTCTTGGACTGAAGCAAGGGTCAGCATTACAACACGGGATCCTGACTAAGGAGCAAAACTTACAGCGCTTGGTGTAAGTGGTCTGCTTGTCGGTGTTGGGAGCGTAGCTGCCCTGGAGGTAACAGTCAGCATCAGAATTTCAAAATAAAAGGAGGTGGAGGGAAGACTTACCAGCATCTCAGAGTCCTTGCTGACCTTGATTCCCTTGCGCTTGACGACCTGAACGTACTGCAGACCGCTGAGAATCTCGTGCTGGACCTTGAACTTGGCAACCATGGTGAACTTGCAACCCTCCTTGATCTTGAAGGGCTTGTCCTTGAGGGTCGCCTCAGAGCCGGGGGCAGCCAGGTCGATAGTAACGGGATCGCGACCGGGCGACTCCATGGTCAGGGAGAGAATGATGCAGACGCGGGGGTCGGAAGCGTCAGAGAGATCCTTTCCGCCGCCGAGGCCGAGGGACTCCTTGTAGCGCTGTAGAGACTCATCGTTCTCGTCTGTGGCGTTGTTAGTCGGCTGCTCATCTCCCATCTCGTATTGTTCCATGTCCAAGGGCTCAAGAACTGCTAGACCATGTGCTGCCCTGACAACAAGGGGAGACATATAAAAGTCCCGAATGAGGTTTGGGTCTTGAGAGAGCATATTCTCTTGGAGGCGGGTGAGTTGGGGGGATTAGGAGGAACAGGGCGTGAAAGAGCTCTTGCTCGGTGAAGGTGTCTCTCGTCCATCACCTTAAATGACTGAGGACGCGATCCCGAGGGGGTTGAGAGGGGAGCAGGGGGGAGCTCAATGGAGTTCCGGTTGCTGAGGGCGTTATTGCGGTTATGCTTCTGCATCATGCGACGCATACCCTCATATAACGCCTCCATGATAATGAGAGGATATTACATGCAAAGGTGCTTATGGTATCGATATCGCAGTGATGAAATGGAGAATGTCAAAATTGAGGTTGATGATGGTGAGAACTAAGAAGAAAGTGGCTGAAAGGCAGTAAAGGTGAAGGCGAATGTGAATCGTGAGGATGAGTTTTGTGGGTGTGAGTGTGTGCGGAAGGTGCAACCAGCTGGGTGCCTTCTTCTCCTGCTGTTTCTTGGTGAGATGTGCCATGAGATGGATGTTGAGCATGCCATCTGCCATCTCTGGGCACCGAGGTGAGTGCAGATATGTGAGAGTCTCCCATCTTGCACACACCGATCCCAAAGCAAGGTGAAGGAAGGTGTGAGGGGCATCTCTGAGGGACCCAGCTGGAGCTGTCCCGGCCCCAAACAGCAGCACCCAGAAACATGGAGAAGAGCAGACCAGACAGATGAAAGATAGCAGATGGGACCAAGGAGCAATGCATAGTCAAAGAACTTACCCATCTTCTGGTACTCGGCCAGACTCTGCTTGGGTTGGGAGAGCTTGTAGCCCTGAGTCTCCTCAGGCATGGTGTCCTCTTGCTCGTGGGAAGCCATGGTGATGATGTTGATGGTGGGGTAAAGGTGGGAGCTGGAGCTGGAGCTTGAGCTGTAGAAGCTGTTCTGGGGCGTGGGTATCGGAGGCTATGGGATGAGAACAGCACACGTGAGTGATGAGACCGTAGATGGGAAGGCTGTGACGATGTTTACTCTGGAGGAAAGAAGTTGAGGATCAGGTAAGGTGGTAAGGTAGGTCAGGGCGATGGAGTTGAGGTAAGGTCATGGCTGGTCCCCCCGTCCAGTAAAGACGAGGCAAGCCGCAAAGCAGCAGCGCGCACCGGCAAAGGTCACCGCTTCCCGTTGCCCCTCATTGTGCTCGGGTCTGGCTGGGTCTGGGTCTGGGTCTGCCTTCTTCCCACCCAAAAATCGACCAGACAGGGGAGGAGCGTCACCGCGTCAGGGCCAGTCGGCGGACAGTGGGCGCTGTAAAGTGGGCTCTGATGGATTCAGGACCGGCCTTGACTGGACGAAACGAGAAATGTCATTGGTTGACAGGTATGTGGGTCTAGGCCTGCATTGATTGGCCAACATCTGGAACAAGATGGAACTTCACACACGAAACCAGGCACAATCGACAAAGCCCTCCTGTGCATCGCTCCCCTCTGGAGACCTTAGACCCAAGCAACGTAACGGTGGTGAGGTTGCTTTGCTGCAGCTTTGATAGAGGGACGAAGAGCAAGACATTCAACCACTCTGAATAAACGCTTACTGTTGCCCCTCGGCGATGACCATGCCGTGCTACCTTGCTGTACCACATTACCTACCCATCCTAAGTACCCAAGCAAGGCCAAGTCGCTGTGTAGGTACCTAGATACGGATAGGTTGCTAAGGTAAGGTCTGCAGCTCTCTGCCCCTCCAAGTGTCTTCTGCAGCCAATCTCGATACGGGATGGGGGATAAGAGGGGGGCATCCGTTTGTAACGACCACGATTCTGCGCATCGGCTGGATGAGCGGTCTGGAATGGTTCCTGATGAGGGGCACAATCGACAAGCTTCAGAAGTTCAGCGCCTTTCCTTCCACTGCTGGAAGAGCATCATGGAGTAAGCCGACGGTTGACAGGTGGCAGATGCTTCATGCGGGCCATCTGCGAAATATGGATAGCCAGTGTTGAAGAGCTTGCTAGCAGCTGCATCGTTGCTATCTTTGCATTATTGCGACCTGGACATTAATGCACAGGAGGGCATGTTTATGCAGCATCTCCAAGCTGGCTTATGTAATTCTCACTGAGGCAATCGTGGAGGTCCGAGGGCCGAACCCTCCAGCGTTCAGGCCATTTCAAAGATCAAGAAGAATCACTCGTTTCCAAGTTCTACGTCCTGGATGATTTTTCGCCCGTTACCCATCCAAAACTTCAGTGAAGGCGTCGTATGTTAGTTAGCCTGGTGCTGTTGCTCTGGCAGCATAGCCCTATTGTACTTGGTGCCTGGAACCGTCTCTCTTGCGCTTCGGCCTAGGCGAGATGAGGAACTCTAGAGACTAACCATCGACCTTATTTGTCTTAGGTACGGAGTACAGACAGATACGTCGCAGCAAAAAGGATGGGGACATCCTTACTATTGTGTCAACCCAAGACCTCAAGCAAAAACTATCGCCTTATCGATTAGACTGCAGCTGCTGCAGCTAATACGATAGATACTGCAATGCACGGGACGGGGGCAACGTGGTCGAATGATGGGCTGAAGACGGGATAGCTGCAGTTCGCCCGTTGCCAGGCGCAATCGCAATCGGAGGGCCCCCGCGCTGTCGGCTCTGTTGCTGCCGCCGCTTTCAATTTGGTGCAAGGAAGGATGTCGGCAAGCTTCAAAAGGGGGGATATCCATGCCACATGCGCGGCATGCTGGAGAAGAGTGAAAAGGGACGAGGGACACTGGACCCTCTTGAGCTTGAAGAAGCCACCGACGGCCCTGGCTCGTTTGTCCCCGCTTGACTGGAGACTGGAGACTGCGAACGGCGCCCAGGGTGTTCAAAGCTTTGCGCGTTCGCGACGAGAACTGTTGGGGACCAGGGGGGGAGACTCTCATTCAAGAGCTTGTCTGGTGCGCTGAGGAAACGTGTGCTGAGCTGTGAGGATCAAAAGCCTCAGCTTTCCCTTCTCAGGTTGGCTTAGCACCTTGGGTACTCCGCGGGCACATAGGTAGGCACATAGGTAGGTACCTTGACGCGACATGGGTCACGCAACGGGTAAAGGCAAAGAAGGAAGGGACCGTCGTATCGATAATCTTCCTTCCCTCCTTCCATTCATCAGGAGTCAGGGACTTTTCCTTCCCATTGCATTTCCGGGGAAAGCGCCGGGAGTGGTGGTCGTCGAATGCGGCAAGTGGTAGCTACGATAGATAGCTACATCATTTACATCGATCTCTCTATAATAAAACCAAGTATTTGTCTATGTCGCATATCTCGCCTCAATAGTGCCTTTGACATACGCAGTACTCCGTACGTGCTCTCCTCCAGGCTCAGGCTTCTCCCGCGTCAGGGCCACGCCGTCACGCTTTGCTTTCCGAACCCGCAGTTCCACCCCTCCCTCCAATCTTACCCAATGAGCAAAGGAGACCCCCAAAGTTTGAAGCTCTCTCTCGCTGCGCTGCGCTGCTGCTGGTTGCTGGTGTTCCCCGGTGCTTGGAGAGTCTGGGACGAGACGCGCTGTTGGAAACTGTAGTGGTGAGTGAGGTGCTCCAATTTGCGCGCGCAAAACTCGCCCAGCTCTACGGAGTACGTAGTACGTCTCTCTGGCCTCCGCTTCCCTTTCCCTTCCCGCCCCGGCAGCCTCTCTTCCTCTTCCGTCCTCTCCTTCCCTCTCCTCCTCACAAGTCACCACCTCTCTCTCTCATCCCGACTCGTCCCTCCCTCCTCTCTTTCACACCACCACTACCTCACTCTCTCACACACACATTCCCTCCGTCTTCTTTTCCCCCCTCGGTCCAGCCTTTGAGACAGCTTTTGCTCTTTGTGCCTTGCCCTTATCGGGATCGCTGTCTCCATTGCCTACAATCAATTATAATCCTTTCTTCATCAACCGCATCGCCAACCCACCCCTGTACCTTTTTTTTTTTTACGCGACAGACCCGTCACGTCACGTCGGCGCTCCGAGGATCCAACTCCATCTACAGCTCCCGTCAGCTCCAACGAGTCTCCAGTAAGCGACACCTACCACACACACACACACTCTCTCTCTCTCTTTCTCTCTCTCTCAGCCTCTCTCTCTATCTCTCTCCCTCACCATCATTCTTGTCTTGCGCGTCGCATATGCGCTCTTACCAGTGCTCAGACTGACGCGACGATTTAGTCCTTTATTCCTCCGATCGAGCCCATAGTCGACGCGACTTGGAAGACGCCTTCCCCGACTGCCGCCAGCGCGCATCGCAAACTTCGTCACTTCACGTACCCAATTTAATCGCCAATTTTGCGCACTCCGTCCCACACTTCCGAAATGCCTTCCGCTACCACTCAAGAGCGGCACTTGCCCGCAAAGCGCAACTCCCTCATGACTGAGGATGTGCCTCGCTGTATGAACAATTGATTGCGCATAGCGCTTCATGTTTGCTAACAAGACTCCAGACGATGACCTCGTAGCCCGTCGTCGACTCGGCCAAACTCAGCTGACGGCCAAGATGGTCAACCTTGCTGACGGGGAAGGCGCAGCTCTCGGCGTCTTCGACTATGCCCACCTTCGCGCTCCTTTGCCCAAGGGCATCGTCTCTGGCATCTTCAAATCCAGCCCCAACAGCTACTTCCTGATGCGACGCAGCCACGATGGCTTTGTTTCTGCGACAGGAATGTTCAAGGCCACATTCCCCTACGCCGAGGCCGCCGAGGAGGAGGCTGAACGCAAGTACATCAAGTCTCTTGCTTCCACCAGCCCCGAGGAGACTGCCGGCAACGTCTGGATTCCCCCAGACCACGCCCTGACCCTCGCCGAGGAGTACGGCGTTGCGCCTTGGATCCGCGCCCTGCTGGATCCTGCTACTATCGCCGTTTCCAACACCCCCGACAGCCCTCCCAAGAAGATCACGGCCCCTCCCAAGTACGAGCTCCTCAAGGCTCACCCTCAGCTCGCCCCTCCTACGCCGACTTCACTCCCTCGCAGCACTCGATCTCGCCGCTCAGCAAGCCCTACCAAGACCGCCGCTGCTACGACGCTCCCCAGACCTGTCAGATCGCCCAGGAAGCGCAGGGCCAAGGCCGACTCTGTCGAGCCTCGGGAATCCACGCCCACAATTGCTACTAAGCTCGAGGTCAATGGTGTGATTGAAGAAGACAAGGATGCCGAAGCGGAGATCAAGACGATTCTCAAGACCGTCGAGGCGGAACCCGTGTTAGTCTTTGAGGCTAGAGAGGAGGAGCCCAAGGCCAAGGTCATCGTCGACCAAGATATCAAGACAGACGAAGATGGCAACGAGACCAAGCACACTGCTGTGTCACTAGAGCTTCCTCTGTTGAGCGCAGAGCCACCATCTGCTGAGGAGACTGCGCGTATGATTGCGGAGGCGAAGCAAATGGTCGAGGCGGCTGCTATCAAGTCAGAAGGTGTTGACAGCCCCAAGGCTAAGAGCAAGCGTGGCGCCGAGGAGATTTCAAAAGGAGATGATGAGGACGAGGAGAAGGTCGCAGAGGAGCCGCGGTCGAAGAAGGCCAAGACCGCCGAGGTGCAGGTCAAGAAGCTCCGCGTACGGAACCGAGCTTTGTTTGGTCTGAGTGCCGTGTCACTTGCCGTCGGGTATGTATCTCTGATTTGCTCTCTGTCGTACGGGACTACAATTGGCTAACCAAGTTTACAGCGCATTCTCGTACTTTGTTGGTTCCTTCTGAGACGTCATTTGACGTGTCGGGAGCTCTAGGTTGCAGTGGAGGCGGTTGGTGCGAGAACTCGGCGGCAGCCTTTCTATATCGTTTTATTGCCTTACTCATCATACCCAGATAGAGCTCGAGGGCACTCGGGCCAGCTTTCTTTTCACTCGTTGCTTGTGGAATATTGGGTGGGATCAAATAAGTGTACATTGAGATCGTCTCTACGGCGATAGGGGGCTTCGCGGGAGGGCAAAGCCGTGGGTGGTTCAGGATTGAGGCAATTGTAGTTGATGTATTGTTTAGGTTTTTTTCTGCTTGCGGCGTCGAAAGGGATACGGTGCATGCGTTGCAGGATGTGCTTCTTCCAGGCGTTATCTATCGTCTTGGCAATTTATCTCGCTCGTAAACAGTCAAAAGATGTTATGCTGTAATGCCTGCTGGATACATGCCATATGGTCCTACCATGATGTACGTTCTGTACTCATCAATTCAGCTGCTAGAATGCTTCGTTCGCTTCAGTAAAGATCGGTCTGTCTGCGGCCGAACCACTCCACGACTTCCATCTAGTATCCGTATATTCCGCATACGAAGTATATGAGTGAGAGGCCTGGGGAATGAATGACAATTTGAAAGTTGGCCGTACGAGGTCCTTGTCTTCAGCCTATCCCACCCGCTGCTGGTAGGTTCAATGGCTCAATCGTCTTCTACTCGGTTGTACGTCCCATTGTTTCATGGAAGGCCCTTGGCGAAGAGTCAGTTGCTCGCCGAAATCTCCACCACTTATCCCTTCAGTCTCCATCGTCGTCTCAACTGTCTCCATCGGCAATGGAGATGATGTTTGTCAAACTGATGTCATTCGGTCCACATACCACGGCATATAAGGAGCAGAAATTTCTCACGATGATCAGGAGGAATGTTCACCTTTCTACTCACCTCTTTATCGTGAGAAGAAGGCAGGACGCAGAGCTCAGGTTTGACTTATTTCCAGCGAGGTTGTCATATCCCTACGTTCAGGACTTCTTGCAACCATGCAGTATTCCTAGCATGATCTGCAAGGGGTGCGGAACCACTCTTTTTTTCTCCAATCCATCCGGGGCCGCTCCCGCAGACGCGCCATGCATGGGTTTGGAGACAAAGGCCTCGGGTGACGGGGGGGCCAAGGGCCAAAGGTCGCCCGCGTGCATCATTCGAGGTGCGAGCGGGCATGGCTAACACCGGCAATGGCCGGCTCCCCGGATAACCGTTGGTTTGCTCCCCCGCAGCGCGCAGGCGGGTGAAGTGGAAGGAAAGCTGGGGTTACGACCGGCTGGAATGCCGTCTCTCCTCCAACTTTGAAGAAGAGAGCATTGAACACTCGCATACTTTTGCCTTGAGTTCACTTGTGTCTTCTACTTCACTTGACGAGAGTCCTGCTTGTTTCATCACTTGAAATTGGAATACATTTCACAAGATGCGGGTGGCTTCCACATTGCGAGCTCTGCCGAGATTCGTCCAACAGCGCGGCTTTGCGACAACGCAGTGGCGGTTGGAGAGCTATGGCTTCATCGGCTTAGGACAAATGGTATGGCCCCTCAAATACACTATGGCATTGAGACCTTCGGCAAGCTAATTGTCACTTTCCAGGGTTACCAAATGGCCAAGAACCTCCAGTCCAAGCTGAGTCCCAAAGATGAGATTCGCATCTTTGACATCAACAAGGATGCAGTCTCCAACCTGGCAAAGGAGATGGGCCAATCTCAGACTGGCGGCGCAAAGGTTGCGGTTGTTGACACTGCACGAGATGTCTCAATTGAAGCTGTAAGTTGCCATCTTTCGTTTTCCATCTTCAAGATGAATCATCTATAGTCGTATGATGCATTCTTAAAACTGTTTTGCCAACTATGAGGCGGCCTACATCCGTCCACTGAGTAAAACTACTTCCTAAGTTTTCTGACCTCGAGAGAACCTCACTTCCTTTCTTCTGCTTCAACTTGAGTACCAAGGCATGAATACTAAACCCCACCAGGACACCATCATCACCGTTCTCCCCGAACCATCCCACGTCAAAGCAGTCTACGCCTCCATCCTCAAAGACCTGCCCTCCCGCAAGCGCACCTTTATAGACTGCTCCACCATCGACCCTTCCTCCTCCCGCGAGGTCGCCGCCTCTGTCTCGGCCTCGACCAGCAACCACGGCACCTTTGTCGATGCTCCCATGTCCGGTGGCGTCGTCGGCGCCACGGCCGGCACGCTTACCTTCATGCTCGGCTGCGACGCCACCCATCTGTCTGCCGTTGAGCCGACGCTCCTCCGTATGGGTCGGCGTGTCCTGCACTGCGGACCGCAAGGTACGGGACTCTCTGCAAAGTTGGCGAATAATTACCTTCTGGCCATTAACAACATTGCCACGGCCGAGGCGATGAACCTGGGCATGAGGTGGGGTCTTGATCCCAAGGTTCTCGCGGGCGTCATCAACGCTAGTACGGGCAAGTGCTGGCCGAGCGAGGTGAATAACCCCGTCAAGGGCGTCGTTGAGGGCAGCCCCGCGGGGCGAGATTACAAGGGCGGCTTCGGGATCGGGCTGATGCGCAAGGATCTTGGGTTGGCTGTCGTTGCTGCGCGGGAGGCGGGTGCCACGTTGGAGTTGGCGGGCAAGGCGACGGAGGTGTATGCTTCTGCCGAGGCTGAGGCGGCGTGTAAGGGACGGGACTTTTCTGTTGTCTATCGGTACTTGGGAGGCAAGGAGTGAAGGAAAAGGCATCCGTCAATCTGGGGTGGTAGATGTTTAGATCCTTCCGATATTGTACTTACCGAAACAACGAAATCATTCATCGGTAGATGTCAGACCATCCCGTAGTTGAAGGGCCTGGGACGAGTCGTTTGTTCTTCCTGGTACCCGCCAGCGCCTTTGTCTCTGCCCTCCACCACTTCTCCCTCACTCCCGCCTCTTTCTCGCCGAGATGGTCCACGCATAGCTCGCAACAAATCACTTTCGGCTTTGGACGGCGGTGCTGTGGCTCGATGAGGATGTATCCCAAAGCCGTCTTCAAGACTTCAAACTCGAGGCCCAAAGGATTGAGCGCTGGGTCGGAAGCGGACAGCTCAGGGACCGTGTCGTTGAGACCGCCGCAGTGCTGGGTTTTTTTGTTGTAAAACATGGCGGCGGAACACTGTTCGAGGACTCGGCGGCGTGGTTTTCCGAGGCGTGTGTTGCAGATGCCGCATATGTAGTGGACTACGTCTGCAATGTACATTGTGAGTGAAGCTGTGGTAGGGGTTGCTCACGAGGAGTGTTTGTATCTTTGACATAATACCTCTGACAAGTGGATGATTCTAGATGACGATAATGTTGACAGCTTTGCGTGGAGGAGGTAGAGGAATATATCAAGCTCGTGTAGTCGAAGCCAAGTCACTATCCAGGTGATACTTGTAGATATTGCACATGGGACTTGAAGATGTTGAACAAATTTTCTTCAACAAACAACGAGTTCCGAATTCGGTTCGCCAAAAGGGAAACTTTGTTTGAATTGTTTTATCGTCATCAAAATTGTCGACAAAGCTCAAGGAAAAATTGAGTTTGAATCTAGTGTTCAGACTGGTTCTCGTCCATTTCTTTCACAGAGCGCAAGTATACAGTCTAATGAGCTTTAAAGAAAAGATTTGACGCTTTTGGGCCGGTTCCCAGCTGACACAGCCGTCTGTCGAGAAAATATGTTCATAATCCCTCCTTTATCCGTCTAATATCATCTTCTTTCTTCTAACACCCTTCTTTCGACTCCTCATGCGGACTCGCGCCCGGACTCGATCTTGGTATTCTCCGGTGTTGATGCCGTTGTTGCCCCCGACTTCTCTCCGATCGATGCCTTGCGGGCGTTGGCCATCTGCGGGAAGAAGAGACCGGGATGGAATGCCGTCAGCATCGTCACACAGATCAAGACTAGGCCACTGTCGAGAACCATGAAGGAGGCCTCGTCCTGCATGATATGGTTGCCCCATCCGCCAGCCATCTCGGCAACACTGTAGTATCGTCAGTCATCCCACTCCGGTTTTGATCATCTAGAGAGACAGCTCAACTTACCGGTAGATGCAACGGGTCATAACACAAGCATACGCCACCGCGACAGCATAGATGAAGGACCTGAACCTCTTGTCATGGTACAGCGCGACATCGCCGGTACTTGCATCGGCCCCATGCGCCCACTTCCTCACACGGATCCAGTAATCCGCGCCGGTAATTCCAAACAACATCAAAACGACAACCTGCAGCACGATACCCGCAATAATGGCCTGGTTCCCCCCGTCAAGTAGCTTCTTGTTCGTCTGGCCCGCCGCGGCAGCCAGGCCGCCGCCGATGGCTTGGATGATGAGGCAGGTGAGGTCGGCGGGGAGGAAGATGAGCGGGTACAGACGCGGACGGACACGCGAGAGGGACGGGTTGAGGTGGGCGGAGACGTGTTTGAGGGTCAGGTAGATTCCGGCGCAGATGAAGGTCGGACCGAGGATGATGGTGCAGATTTGCATCTGGAAGGCGTCTTTATTCCAGGGGTTCTCGTGCAGGAGGGTGCGGCCGACGTAGCCTGGCGATGTGTTAGTGATGGGAAGGGGGGTTTGAGTTTCTTCACGATAATGGCACGGGGTTTAGGGGCACGGAGGCATGGTTCATCCAGTTGCAAGTTGAGACGACGGTTCGTATATGAGGAAACGCAAGGGCAGGGGAACTCCATACCAACTGTCTCGAGGACACAACCGCCCGTCACAAAAGCCATGAACGTCCAGGTGCGCTTCCATGTTCCAATGGTTGCTGACACGAGCACAATCAAGCCAAAGGCGATGGCGAAGAAGATGTTGGCGCCGAAGTTGGGGTAGTAGGACAAGACTGTCATCTCGACGGGGCATAGCTCCGAGACTTCGGTACACTCGCGGAAAGGCCGCCGTATCGTGGTGTCGTTTGCTGACATGGTGGCGATCGATTTGGGTGTGCTGCTAAACGGAATCGAGTGGCCTCGTCGTGGTTCGATCTGCTCGCCAAGTTTCGCAACGTAACTGATATCACGACAGCGATCGATCGCAGGTCTGGTTCGATGGTACCCAAGTCCTCGTATTTCCCCACGCTCTCGTTGTTGCCTCAAGTTTGAGATGGTAACTGCTCTATCGAGTATGCTTGTCAAGAAAAGAAGGACTTGAATAGAATAGAGGTGCAGATCCCAGATAGGAACGGCAGTCAGGAACACAGACGACGTCCGTCATGTACATATATGTATGCGAACCATGTGAACTTTGGTAGTAACATGAACAGCAGCCTTTGCCTTTTTAGAATATTCGAACGGACAGACAGAGCACCCATCTCAGGGTCATCAATCCATGACAACCCCCCCCTTCGGTCATCTCTGCCGTATGACTGGTCAGTCCATAGATCAGTAACACGAAAACCGAACAAAACGAGAGAAACGAGATGGGATTTACTGCAAAAAAGAGCGACTAGGGGTGGCACCAAACGGCGACGCTAAGGACAGAGCCAAGATCTTCGTCGTCTACCCGAGGACCCGCTGGCCCGCTCGAAATGGAAACCACTGCGCCTGCCGCTTACGGACTTTGTGTGTGTGTGATGGGTGGCCATTGGACGATAGTTGTCTCTCTGTTGGGCCCTCGGACGTTCTGTGACATGTTGGATCTGTTTGTAAACATGTTGCATGCGACATTGAGATCTTGTCAGAAACTTCAGGTATCACAGGTAGTTGTTGCTAATGTGGTTCGAGTTTCTGATACTGAGTCCCAGTCAACAACTCTTGTCATTGACACCAAATTGAAGAGACAACAACCAGAGAGTCAAGGGGAGAGACATTTAAAGCGATAGACGGGGAAGACTCCGAGAGACGGTACAGAGACCAACGCCCGAATCTTAGCATCGTTCTAGCGCCTTGGCTCGGTTCCGCACGGAATCCACTCATCGGGGGGTTTGCTATCCGAATAACACGGGCTAAGCGATGCTGACAGACGGCCACCCGAACACCTAACCGAGATATCGACAAGGGTCACTCGACCTTTCTCCCGCTAGCAAGACCGGCGGCTTAAGAAGCCTGGCGTGCCTTGGAGGATCCGAGAGGTGATGCTTCGGGTCTCTCGGTTCGCTTGGACGATATGCCTGCCGCTCGCGTGGCATCCATCAAGACTAATGTCAACGTATTCGTACCTTATGCGAGTCTGTATCCAGACAATCGGGGCAACCAATATTATTGAAGCGTTGGAGGAATGCTGTCGTGCTAGTGTGGTAAACCAACCACCCGTTGCCCGTTTCGCCAATCTGTCGCCAGATTTTGCCCCAGAAGACTGATTGCTCTGCAATGAGACACCATCAAGTCGGTTGTATTCTTATTTTTTTTTTTCGTTTTTTTTTCTCCCCCGCGAACCTAGTGATGGGGTTTGACCAGTGATTACGAGCTCGACAACCATCACCTGACAGTAACTTTTGGCAAAAGTGCAAGAATGTATGTTATTTAATTATATGCTTCGGGTTGATGAGAGCAGCCTCCGGCTACCGGTCGGTTCGCATGCGACCACGTACTTGTCATTCGCTGTCGTCGTCGCTACTCTCCTCCTCTTCGTCGTCATCCTCTTCATCCTCATCATCCTCTTCCTCTTCGTCTGTTTCTTCCTCCTCTTCGTCGTCATCCTCATCATCATCTTCTTCCTCCATGTGGAAGGCCGCCTGTTGCTCTTCTTTCTCTTCTTCAGCGAGCCAGTCATCGAGTGTCTTGACACCAACACCGCTTGCAGCACCAGCACCCACAACGGCACCGAGACCGTTGGTCCTCGTTGGTGCCGCTCTGACCGCGCTGTCGAGCATTTGACTTGCCGGCACGGTCTTGTCCTCACCATAGCTCGATGATGTTGATTCTGTCTCTCGTAGCCGCCTGTTGGGTTCTGAGCCCTCAGCTACCCATTCGGGGAGAGCATCATAACCACGCAACCCGTGAATGCCACCTCCACCGGCCAAGACAAGCGTTGATGAACCGAGCATGAATCCCTTGCGCGTCTCTGATGGGCTCGGAGCCTGGGGTGCGGGCTTTGGTGCCAACAACATCAACGTGGCTAGCTGGGGCACGGAAAGAAGAGCTCGGTACATCCGGGCCCGGTCGCGAAGGTCGTACGATGTGTCGTAGCGGACTAGCAATAGCGCATAGTCCCAGAGTTTGGCGACGGGGTGGTCGTCTTGGACGGGTACGGGCGCATCGTCTTCGCCCTTGTTCTCGTTTTGTCGGTTCACGTGATGCAAGTAGACCTTGGCCGCGAGCAGGAGGATCTGTCCTTTGGCTACCTCTGCCTCACTCGCAAAGTCCTTGAGAAGGATTCGCATCACGTCTGCCGCAATGTTGTCCTCGCCTTCGAGGCCTGAAAACTCGCCCACAAGCCATATGATGGTTGCCCTTGCTTGAGGGTCTGTTGCCGAGTCCAAGTTCTTCGCCAAACGGACAACTGTACCTACGTGACCCTGGGGGTCTTGCTGAATCAGGTGCCGAATCACTGTCAAAGATTCCGCTGCCAAGGTTCCATCAAGACTCGTGATCTGCCCAAGCAGCAAACGAAGACACCTGGGAGCCGCGGTTGAGTCCGTCTGAGCGCACCGTCCAATAGCGCGCACCGCTTCTCGCACCAAGGCCTTGTTTGTTGAGCCTGAGAAGTGCTCCAGTTCGTTCAAAATGAGGCTCTTGATGTGTGGGGGCGCGTGAGGGAAAATGAGCGTCAGAATCTCCAATTTCAGCTCCCACACTTGTGCTGGGTCCGTAGCTCTGACAAGGAAGTGGCTGGCGTATTTGACAAAGTCGGTTGGCCTCGTCAGGCACACCGAGACAATGTTGTAGAGTGCCACTTGTTGAATGTCCTGCGGTCCCCTAAGGAGCGCTACGAGGGGGCCAATCGCTGTCTTGACGTATTCTGGCGTGCCGATATCGACATAACACCTCGTCACTGCGATAACCACGGCAGAATTGCGGCTCTGTAGCAGCGGTTTGATGCCGTTGAGCAGCAGGGTCAGATCTGGATCCACGACGGCAACCACTTGCTCCTCGCCTCCAGTCTGCGAAGTTTCTCCGTAAAAGTCACCCAGATTGGCCGTCTTCTCTTGAATCTTGACGCTGCGCGTCCGCCTGGGAAAGCAGTTCCTTGCGTAATATGTCATCATTCTCAGCGTCGCTAATTGACTCCACTCGTCCATGTCCACGACCTTCTTGACCAGCGCACGGTACTGTGGATGTATGAGATCGATTCGATCGGGGCATATTTCGAGGAAGGCCGTAACTGCTGCACCAGCGACGAAGTACTGCTTGTCGCCAAGGAGCGCAGTCAGGTATTCGAGGAGTTGCGGTAGTTGCGTGGGATCGAGGCGGTAGCACTTGGGGATGGAGAGGGCGGCAGCTCGGCGCACATAAGGACTCATATCTGCCACACCCTTCTTGATTGCGAGAGATACGATCTGGCTAATGACTGGAACTCGGATGCCGGACATGGTCTTGAGAGCAAGGGCGCGGACTTGTGGGTTCGTATCGGAGAGGGATTTCTGGATGGTGTTGATGGAGAGCAGAGCCAGATCGGGTTCTTGTTCGGCATGGTGGATGAGGTAGATGTAGACGAGCTTCTTGATTTCGATGTTCGGTGATGCGACATTCTTGACAACGGAGGAGAAGAAGGGCAACGTCTTTTGGCCGCGGTACATCATCTATGCAGAGGGGGGACCCGATTAGCCAAGGATGGGGAAGCTGGCTAGAAAGAGCGCGGTGCCTACCGAGAGAACGCGGCGCAGGCCATCGAGCACCTCGCGCTCATTTCGACTGTCCAGTAGCTTCTTGATCTGTGTACGGTCGAGAGGGCGGCCGGTGCTGCGGGAGCTGCGCGTAGCTGAGGCGGCATCGAGAGTGAGCTCTCGGGCTGGGACGAGGTGGACGTTAGCGAGGTGACATGACGACAAGAACGAGAGACGCACCGCTCTCGAGCAGACTGGATATCCGCGCAATGGACTCCATGGCGGGCGACAGTCCTGTCGGGCCTGAAGCAGTCGGGCGGTTGTTGAGTTTTAAAGCCTTGAAGATGCCGGGTGGTTGTCGCAGGGAGAGAAATGACGTCTCGTTGGGTGCTTGAGAGGCTGAATGAGCTGGCCGTCGAGGGGCAGAGGCCGGGGCGGTTAAGGTACCTACCTCCAGCTTGCTGTATCCGCCCGGAGTAGCTGCCCCGCCAAATCGACTGGGCCTGACGATTCTTGCCCCACACTGATCCCCTGCTCTCTCACTTGAGCCACTTCCACTTCACGTTGAACACAAATCTTAGTGTCTAGCAAGGGTTGAATGAGAAGTCAAGTCAGATTGTCACTTGGTGACATAATCACGTAAGGTTTTAGGTCTGAGTCTAAAGAGGCTTGAGGAGAACACATTCAAGTCTTAATTGAATAAGGAGCCCTTCTTTGGTTTAGAACAGCAGCTTTATCCTGCCTTTCTGGAGCGAGGCACATTACAATCCAATTTTCACATAGAAACATCGACTTCCAATTTCTAGAACTCATTCTCTGTGTACTAAGATTGAAGCCATAAAGAAGGGGAATCATTAGACGCGAGCAGAGGAACTAAGGGACTTCAATGCGAGCCTGTTCCTTTAGGAAGCAAGATTGAGGGTCCGGTCTCGGTTGATAAGTCTCCTGATGAGTTATAACCATCGCCTTCATTGCTTTAGTCTATGAGACCTGTTTTTTTCAAGTCCAGATATGACAAAACCTGAGCAGACACTCGGTAGTACATCAAAAATATCTTCATAAGCGATGCTGGGCGGCGTTGGCCATGAGTACAGGCTCTTGGCAAAGGCTTTCCAAACGTGGGTTTGAACTTGGTATTATGTGTGAGATTTGACGAGGTAGACGTCACTTTGATCTCTGCTAATTAGAATCATGTAGATAGCTCGTGAATAACAAGCTCGGCTTATGTAAAAAGCTCCCTGAGAGGGAACTAACTACATCGAAGGTTGCCCGGATGCATCCGTCTGTTACCTACATCGTGGCATGGCCGAGAGCATTCAATGAAAGCCCGAAATATGTGACGTGAGAATTTATTACATATCAGGTATGGAACGAAAGGGACAGACGGAAAGGAATCATGGCAACGTATGAGGCTAATACTCGGAAACAAGATAATTAACCGCCAAGTCGATGAATCACCTATCGTAGGTGAAGAGCAGCAAGCTGCTACACTTCATCGAGCCACTCCCAACAGCGATTTGAAATTATGGGTGGCTATATACAATCCTAATAGACCAAGTTCATTTATAAGAGAGATGTCGATCTGAAATGGTCACTAATACAACCACTTACTCGGAACAGCAGTGATCAATCGACCCTCGCGCACAAAGGTTGCTAAAGTGGGTCCTCCGACCGGGCTCACTCATTGGCTTCAACTTCATTCTTCGTTCATCCCGTTTCAACTTTCTCGATGATGGGAGAGAAGTATCAAAACAAAAGAACAACACTTTTGCGGATCGTAGAGTGACAACTAGGAAGAGACGATATCATTTTGAAGTCCCTACCAATGAATCCAACTGTGCTCTCGCCAGCATCACCAGCAGAGTTGCTGCATTACATCGTCACCTTTCAACCCTATCCAACGACACTCCTCATCTGCTATCAGCGGGAAGATTTCATCTCATCCCTCGTATCCGACGTCCGACAAAACCTCTCCCAACAAAACTATGAGCAGCCTGAAGACCTGCTTCCGCAACCCCTCCTCTCGGCAACACTTCTCCAGACCGCAATTGCCCGTCACATCCGCGTCCTCTTCATTCCGAGCGTTACACATCTGCGCGCCTTCCTGTCCGCCTTTGGCACTTCAGACTCCTTGACGCCACCTCCACCAAAAGTGGCACTACCAGGCCCAAAGAGTCGGCCGCCGCCCTTGCTCCTCGTGTATGGCTTTCTCGACCTCCATCGCGATAGCAGCGAGTGGAGCGCGCAAGGCATGAGCAGCTCCGCCGCCGTGCTCATCGAGGCTGCTCGGCACGCCGAAGTCAAGTTCAAACCCGTCATCGTTGAGCCCAAAGGTGCAGGAGGGCACAATGATTTTACTTCTTTGTTGCGGGATGATGCGCCGGTGTTGAGCGGAAGTTCAAGGAGGAGCGAGGGCGTCTGGATGGGGAGAACTGTCGAGGTGAGGAGAGTCTTGGGCCGGTGGTTTCGTTTCCAGACTGGTCGGTGGGATATCACTTAGTGTTCAGCTTGCACGGAGACTGATTTGAGGCAATGAGATGAGTCGAAATAAATCGAAAGCTTCATTACATCGATATGTTGGCCATGGCCATGGACTGTCCTCTCTCTCCTGACATCTACGCAGAATTCATCCCCGCCTCAAACGCCGAACCCATGGTATCCTTATAACTCATTTCATCGTAGCAAAGTGAAAGATAACCGACCCGAAACAACGATAATCTAAAGAGCCTGCTCCATCTCGGTAATGTACAGCTTGATGTGAGATTCCATCTTGAGGAACTCGTCGTAAGCACTGTGAATCTCGTTTTCAATGTTCTCCTTGAGATCCAGCATCTGCTTTCTGGTTAGCAGCTCGTTCTTTGCCGGAAAATCAGAGGAAAGTGTACCTTCTTCTCAGTCTGCTCGATACGAACACGACGCCTCTCGATATCCTTGCCCTTATCCGTCCTTTCCTCGGTGAGCTTGCGGTGAACAGCACGAAGCTCTTCCATCTTCTCCTTGGCGTCCTGGGCCTTTGAAGAACTCTGCTCTCGGAGCTTCTCAGTGCGCTCGTTCCACTTGAGCAGTTGTCGCTGCAGCAAGGCCTCGGTACGCTCGACTTCTCGCACGTTGTTACCGCGCTCTGATAGTGCGTCACGTTGCTTGACATTCTTTAGGTTCTCGTCCTCCTCCTTGGCTAATTCAGTGCCGATTTCGTCCAGCACCTTGATACATGATGCTACATCCGTAGAGACCACCGAGAAGGAATCGGCTGATGTCTGGAGTGCGCGGGAGCGGCGATCAAGGGCCTCGATATGCGACTTTTCGCTGTTGAGCGCGTTGCTCAGCTCTGTCAGGGTCGCCTGCAGTGCCGAAGGACTCTGCATCACGTAGGGCCGAAGCTTCGCGCTATCTTGTTTGGCGGTAAGCTTCTGTGCCGTCCTCTCCTCCAGAGCTATCGTAAGCTCAGTCTTCTTGACCTTTGCGTCTTCGAGACGAGCGGCCACACGCTCCTGATTACGCCGCAGCTCTAGCAGTCGCTGCTTGAGCTCCTCGTTGCGGGTCGTCTTCTCGCGTACCTGCGCTTCCATTGCTTTGCGGTTGCGCTTCATGTCGACGAGACGCGATTCCATATCCTGGTTCTCCGAATAAAGGCTCTCGATGCGTGATTTCGTCGTCTCTGCCTTGTTGAAATGCTCGTCAATGACACTCGTCTGTGATTCGCGGAAGCGCACAAAGTTGATCAGGTAGCTAAAGATTTTGACAAGGCGGTCATGTGTGGGCTTGTAGAGGTCGTTGAAGCTGAAGTCCTGGATGCCGCACTCTGCAAGAAGACCGCGCAGAGAGACATAAAAACCCATCAAGTTACGGGTATCGGGGGGCACGATGTCGGAGTATTCGCCGCAAATATCCTCAGCAGCAGCGCGCATGGCGGGCTCGACGGTCTCGCGGGTTGCATTGAGGAGCAACTCGGCAAACCATTCGAAAATCATCTGCACCTGCAATGGGTTCGGCTTCTGGAGATCGGCGACGTTGAAGGGGATTCCGATGTCTGTTATGCAGCCGACAATCTCCTTGTCCGGCAGGCGCATAAACGCGTCGGCTTCATCTTCTTTCTTTCGGGTATTGCGCGACTGTGTCTGTGTCGCGGGGATGATGCTCATTCGCGGATTGTACGACATCTTGATGGTTTTAATGGGCTCCTCGGAGCGGTGCGCGGTAGTAGCTGGTCGGGCTTGAATGCAATGCGACGGGACGAATGTCAACCCAGTAAGGTATGTCTGTAGATATTGGGCGTGGTGTTGTCGCGGTTTGGCATCAAAAGATTGCCGTAAACAGCTTATCGGCCTTGTTGCTCCGACAACCCGCGCCTTATCGATAAAGGTCCCGACAATTGGGCCTGGTCAGAGTCACATGACCAACTGTTACGTGCTGCGTTTTGTGTGACTTATTGCCAGTGTGGCCCGTGCTGTTGTATCCGTATGCCTACCGTGCCACCTCACCTGACCGAAAGTGCTGCCTTTGACACAAGTGTTGCGAATGGAGGACGAAGGAGAGAAAGGGAGACGCTGTGTAATGTGAAGCCGTTACTTGTTACACCGATGCGTATTGACGCTGTGCACGTTCAAGCACGGAATGGAAAATTAGATACGTAGATATCTGCAAGTTGCAGGAAGGTGAGAAGGGAGGAGGCTTTCCTGTGCCTGTGTACCTTCAAGGTATCTTGAATTGGGTTTGGCAGGTGCCTTCCAATAGCGTTCATGCCTTCCATCCTCAGTAGCGCCCAGAAGCCCAACGTGACCTTTCAGATTTTGAATTCTTGGGTTCTCTGCCGACTCGCCAACGTCGCAGAACAATTTCAACTTTTTCTCACCACTCGGAACTCCAGGAAACCTTGTCACAAAGCTTCGCATGCCGCATTGCTCGGCACTGACTCGAGAAACACTGGTATCTTATGCCTCATGGCAATCCCGAAGCGACTTCATCAATCCGGGACCAGGCCGCACACCACCATCATCCTGCCTCAAACTTAACCAAGACGCCGGGCCAGACTCGAAGAAGGACTGTCAGACAACGACCGCGGTGGTGAATCGCGCATGCCATGGCCTACAGGTTACAAAGCACTACTGCTAGGCCATTACGTACAAGATGAGAGATTCGGAGAGAACACCAAAACGGACATTGGTTATGGACCAAGTGGCCCAAGAGGAGAGCCTAGAACCGTCCTCATCCCCTGCGCTTTAAAGCAGATGACCTCGCCTGCGTTCTCAGAGACAGTAAGAGGCCAATTGGACAGACCAGAACGGCAGAAAGCTGCCAATCCCTCACCAAAAGGTCCAAAGATGAGCAGATGAACACACCCTCGCAGTTCGCGCCAGCCGAGATCTGCATTGAACCCCAGCCAGTTCCCGCCGTTCTCCCACATGGCATCCAGGTATTTCTGGGGTTCCCTCCGACAACTTCGTCCAGACAAAGTACAGACTCTGACCTTCATTTCCGCCTCGCCAAATGGACTCTATCCGTAATACTCTATGGACCAAAAGGGAGTCATCTCATTTCGCAAAGAGGCCTGTTGCCGTCTACCCATCGATATCGTTTCTGAAACGCCCCTCGCCGTGGGCTGTCATTGGCTGGAAACAACAGACTCCCATTGACAGAGGCTCCGAGCGTGAAACAGTTTGGATTTACTTTTCGGGAGGTCCCTGTCTAGCGTGACCGCCAGGCGCCAGGTCATCAGATGAAAAGGGGTTTATCTTCACAAACGATTATCATTGGTGCGAATCTGCCCTAACCAGGGCGCCCAGCCAACCTCCAGGTGGCCAGCTATTCGAATATCGAGCACCTCAAATCTGCAATGACGGACGGAAAGACGATGCTGAAGCTCTCTCGTATATCCGTCCATCCTCTATATGAGCATCTGGGAACAGTGCCTAATGCTCAAAATCAAGCCCATCTACATGGGCTGCGACCATTTATCGTGGAAATGCTTCGGGTCACCAGTGAGCTACCGTATTTGTTGAACAATGGCGATCCATTCGTCAAGGTCGACGAGGGAGAGCTAGTTTACACATCGACCCCGCCCTCGAGGCCTCGATCGGTGACATCAAAAAGATATTCCGCCCTCCTTCCACGAGTCCATCGCAGCATCCAAGGGCGGGAATAATCAGGGTCCATTGGCATAAGCTAGGCTCTAGCTGGTCCTTTCTACGAATGAAGGCACACAACGCTGAGCCAGTATGACCAGTATGTTATGTTGTCCTGCTCATCGCATTGGATCGATAAGAGCATTGCAGAGGCTTAAATTAACCAATTTCTACTGTCAGAATCGGAAGACGGATTATGATTATCGAACCCCGTGAATGGACAGCAAGCTCGTACGAAACCTTGTCACCAACGACTACGCCGCAGGCTCTGCATTGCTGTGCTTGCAGCGATCACATTGTCCTTGGGGGGGGGGGGGGGGGGGGGCGGCTTGCACTAGGTACGTGTCGAGTCTGACAGATACGAAGGAAACGACACTGCAGACGCCTGCAGCACGCTGGAACGCTCAGAAGAAACGAGGGCGGATTGAAATGTGTTTTGCCGTCTCTCGCGAAACCGTCTGAAGGATACTCAACCGCTGCTTGAAAGCATCACCACATCACGACGCGCACCTTAGAACTACGATGAACTCAGCTCGAGAAGCATATGCACACAACACCGACAGGTACATGGAAATTGGAAATCAAGCCTGGGCGGAAGCTGACGGATGACGAACTCCTCAGCATCAAATTACCCTATGCCGCTACAACAGGCTGGAAGGTCGATAAGACCAGAATCCTGGCGCAATGACGTTGCGATGGGACGCTAATCTTAAAAGGATCGCCCCTAAGGCGGCTAGGAGTCGTAACCCCGGTCTGCCGCTGGCTTGAGGCCTCATCACGTAGGTGAAGCCTTTGAAGCCACACGTAGCGATGATGAAGTAGTTGTAAGTTGCGACACTTGCAGTCATGCCGCACAACCTCCAGCCCGCGCGCCATTGCGACGTCCTGACTCTTGAATTAAAGCAGGGCCGGCGGCGTACCCTGGATAGAATATCGCCATGGAGAGCCAGCCACGGCTCCCATGACATAATGACCGAAACCTTCGACATACAGGGCATATCGCCGCAGCATCGCAAGTTAAGGATACCCGCCGCCCGGAGACTGCCAAGGTGCTCATTACACAGGAACACGCACTAACCTTGAAGCTTTGGGGTATCAACTCACTTTCAAGTTCCCATGAGCAACTAGTCATGCTTGGGCCAAAATCAGCAGCGCGGTCGACATGCTACGTACAGCATAATGGATTGCGGGAGCTCACATGTTCGCAGGCGTGGTAGGCTGCGGTTCCATGCGATGCATTGACAACAGCAAATGGCCACGACGTGGTGAAGCCAGAGATAAAACTAAACAGATGGGTACGGCTCACGATCTCATTAGGCGGAGACTGGAAGGGATCTCAAAAGCTGCGAGTGTTGCTTCCAACTTCCAGGCCACGTCGACGTCGTGGACGGCGAGTGCCGGGCCCCGAGGCATTGGGCAGGCCGCAGCTAATACGGGTTCCAGCGTCGTTCGCGCAGCTTCTTCAGGGCAGTTGAGGACGAATACGAGCAAGAAGTGAGGGTTTTCCAATTGAGGGACCTGCAGGTGCCCATTGAGCCAAGTCCTTCTCTCGTACAAAAGAGGGCCAGACTCATGTAGCGGCCCTCAAGCGGCGTTGTGCTCGATACGGCCCTCGATGGCCGTGGCTACTCCATCGCAGAGGTATTGGCGTCCCGCTCCGCAGGTAACGGTACTTTAGAGAAGAAGGACGATCCCTGCCCCAAAGGCAGATGGCCCTTGTGCCTCGCAAACAGGCACGTCCGGGTTTTCCAACAAGTACGATCCCTACAGACCACGCATACTGTGGGATAGGAGTCAAGGACCGGCCTGCAGGGCAGAACGTTGCGCAACCGTCGAACCGAACGGCACCACCTCCAGTCCCCTGCATTCCCAGGCTCTTGCACCACAGATCAAAGCTCTCACGGGTGGCCAAAAGACACCGCAGCCGACTCCGTAGCAACGTGGCTGACGGAGGCGATGGGCGGGCGCTATTCTGGGAGCTGGAGTGGTCAGATGATGTGTCTGGGAGTCCCCCTCAACTTCTCAACGGCTAAGGCTACTTTGGTCATGGCTCCTCATCTTTGTTCGCTTTGTCGATTTTCTGTCAGTGCCTCGAGGAGGGCTATGAGAGGATGAGCTTGTGCGCAAGGAGAAGGAATTGACAGCCGGCCGAACTGCTAGTAGGGAGACAAGGAGACTACCGGTAGCCTCCTCATTGCTCTAAGGCTCTTCCCAGTCGATCATCCGCCCGCAAAATGACGGCGGGACGGCCGGTAGTCACCACTGGCGCCAAACATATGTCAGTGTCACCGTCAACTCGCCCTAGAGCAACCTTCAAGCCAAAGCCCCGCGCACGCCTCGCCCTGTGCAGCTGTCTGTGAGCTGAGGTGATAGTTCAGTGGACAGAAGCGAAGGGCAAGATGACGGTCATACAATGGGGCAGGCTAGGAAGAGGCTAACGTCAAAACATTTCCCAGAATCAACGCCGCGGGCTGAGCAATATCTGGGGAAAGATGATGGCGCAAATCCTGAAGACTTGAAAGGCCACCCTCCGACAGAGAACGGTGGGCGCCATGGCGCCTGACAACAGTCTTCGTACAACTTTGCCAGTTCACAACTGCAGCGGCAACCACATCATCTGATGGAGAGCACAACGGCTCGGAAGGTTGCGGGGCGCTGACAAGCTGTAGCCTATGCGGCAAAGAGTTGCGGCCAGACCCAGATGATGAACTCTGTTTGCCCCCCCACCACCCCCTTCTGTTTCTGTCTCGGAATCCCACTGAGGGACGAGGGTCAGGAAACAAGGGATTCTCCAGATTTATTCCTCTCTCGGTGCGCGAGTGGGCCGCCCTTATTACTGAGCCGGCGGATTTGGATATTCTAAGTTCATTTTTTGGGGGTCCCGACTCACAATGTGTGGCACAGCAAGGAAAAGCACTATGGGATTACCGAAAGGACAAATCCATTGACGGACGCCGATTCTTGATTGAGGCTGAGATGGATCCATTCCGTCTCGATTTCCAATTCCGGTTCTATTATCTATCCCTTTCGAGAGGATGACTCAGGGCCATGGCGAATCCCCTTTCAGCCCTCGTCTTTTTCACAACGTCTAAAAGGCTCAGGGAGAGCGATGGCGTGGATGGGTATTCACATAGTGTACGGACGGACACACAAAATCAAACAATTCCACCGAGTAGGAATCCTGCGTTATTTACACAGCCCTACACCACAACTGCATAGCAAACAGGCCAAGGTCCTCGCAGGCAGGCTAGGCTCAAACCCGAACCCTGCGTACTTGTGGACGACGCTGCCATCTATCACTGGCTTTCCGGGGCTCTAGTCGGCGGCATTGCAATGGAGCCGCCTTGCAGCCGCCAACAACGCATCTGCTGTTTGACTTATTGCAGAAGTAAAAGAAACCTACAAAGTATTTGTACGGAGTACTGGGTACATGTAGCCGCAAGATCTGAGTTACCGCGGAATACGGGACTCGGACGGGTCTGCGGCGCGGATACGAAGCGATACCGAACAGGTACGGCGGGTACCTTGACTGAACCACTCCCACTTCCCTTCTTTTGCCTTTTTCTTTTCGTCTTTTTTTTCTTTCTTAATTTGCACATACGGGCTTCTCACGGTGCATCGCGCAGGGCACAGCGGCAGCCAGGGGACGGCCCCATTAGCCCACCGTTGGAGGTAGAAAGAGCAGAAACTTCAACGCGTACGGAGACAGATATCCTTACCCACTGCGTCACTGTGCGAAGTATTACATCGAGAGGCATGCTGGAACCGTTACGACTATCGAATGCCAAAGGTGGCCAGCCACTCGACACTACGAAACAGAACAATTCCAGTCATACTCAGGCTACCAAGCCACCAAACCACAGAATAAGACAACGGCATATGAGACAAGCCTCGGGGAGACCAGAAAGGCCTCCAAACGGTGAGACATTGGAACTCCAGGGGCTGGATGTCAGACCCGCGGGTCGTCCATAGAGATCCTAGAAGTGAGAGACATGCAAAGCCGGACCCAGGGCCCGCTCGCAGTCAGTCAGGCCAGGAACCAGCGCCACGGCAGACTCGCACTGCATCGCATCGCATCGCATCGCATCGCGTCACTGGTTGGATTCGTTGAGCGCTCCTTTTTTGAATCTTGCGTCCTGCCCTGAACCTTTCTCTCTCAATCCTTCTTCTCAGGCCGGACCGGGACAAGACCAGGGCAAGCCGCAAACCAGGGCAGCACTTGGAGCCGAGCAGCAAGTGGTGTGCTGGAAAGCTGGTCGGGTCCACTCCGTTGATACTGAAGCAGAAAGGACTCGCGACGATCAGGCCCAGTCCTGGCAGTCCCCGATCCCATCGACGACATTGACATTCCCCCTGCCGGCAGGAGACTTCGCTGGCGGCTGGTGACCATCTCTCCCTCGTTCACGCAGGCACAGGCACTGGTTTTCCGGGAACCCACGCGAAGCACACGTCAACGTTCTCCTGTGGTTCCTCCAGTCTCTATCTTGATTCCGGACTTCCATTGGTGTATGCGGACGGCGATACCCATACCTGTACAGATTCAGTCCCATCAATCTCGACAACTCAACTCAACTCAACCCTCAAGAACGGAAGAGACGCACGGCACGCTGTCCCCGGGGTCCCATAAGGATATACCTTAACCAATTGACCATCAAAAAGCTAGGGGAAGCAGGAAGAAACCCAGAACGCAACGCACCCTCTAACCCGGGCACACACCACACTTTGTCCATGTCTGGTCAATTCACACCCCCTTCCACCCTGGCACCCCTCCCTCTGCCTACCCCTTCACCCTTGAGTCCTTGACCGACCCTTGACTTTTTCCTCCAGCCCAAACCAACCAGCCCTGGCCGTCCCATCCCTCCTGGTCTGATCTGGTGGTCCCAAAGGTCCCGGCTCATGCTCCCTTGCCCTGCCACTCGATGGCCCAGTTCGGATAGGTACCGCAAGGTACCGCTCCAGCAACGGCGCCGGCAAAAAGCTACCAGCACCGGCGTCAGCCAGCCAGCCCAGCCAAGTAACAAGCTCTCCCCAGTCCTTACCAGCGGCCCCATCAGCAAGAGCAGCAGCAACAGCAGGAGCAGTTGCAACAGCAAGCACCAGTTCGGGCAAAGTCCAAGGAAGAGAGGAGAGGAGAGGAGAGGAAAGGAAAGGTCTGCTGCCCAGCTGCCCTCTTCTGTCCGTCCAAGCCCAGTCTTTTGCTCGGGCGTGCCCCGTCTCGTGTCTGGTCTCTTCACCAAGAAGCCTGCTTGGTCTCTGAGAGTTCCCCCATTCGTCATTCCATCACATTCAGCCCAGCCATTGCCACTTTACGAATACATTGGTTGCATATGACTTTTGTCCCTCTTTTTAATCCTCGAACTAAAAGGAGAGGTACTGTATCCGTACGGATACCTTGCTTTTGCTTTCCATATTGCTCCGTCACTCCCGTACCTATAGACACACTCTTCTCTCAGTCTCCTAGTCTCTTGTCTCTCCGCCCCTCCACTCGCTTTAAACAAGCCTGGCTGGCCAATACCATCTCCTCCAAAAGCCCAATCCCATATTTGCTGCACAATCCCGGATCCTTCTTTAAGCAGACAAGCTTCCGCACTTCCTTTGGCTCGGGACAACCCCAGCACACCTCTCGTTTTACTCGTCCATTGCGAAACTGGTGGCGATTCTGGTGGGCAGAAAGCATTGAGATCTAAACGAGGCAGCCCGTTCACAGTCACTGATCACGCTACCTTACCGACACACATGCTATTCATCGATATTGAGTGATACGCCAACGATCATGCAACCATACAGACATCGGTCCTTCGACAAATACCCCAGTATTCTGCGATAACTCTCATCACCACCAAACTACCCATTGGTGACGCTTTTCCACCGCGTCGGCTGATGGGAAAATGGCCCTTTGGCCCTTCCGCCGGAGGAGCGGTCGCAAACGCTCGCGAAGCGGCGCAAACCTCTCAGATGTCGAGGCACCACCAACACCATCACAAGCACGACGTCTCACAGCGGGCGAAGCCACTGCGCTGAGGGCGACCATGCCGAAGAAGCAGCGCCTCGAAAAACAGCAACCGGCGCCCAGAAGAGAACGCACCTACAGCTTCTCCCCTGGTCGCAATGACTCCATCCGTGTCGCGGGGCAAAAAGGCTCGGTTCCACTAGGACCTGGCCGGTTGACAGGGCTCTTCCCAGCCGACCGAAATGACGGAGAAGAAAAAGGGGATCCCGCGTGGCAGCGGGCGCCAACCCTACATAATGCACGCCACGGCCAACCGTCGAGGTCTTCCCGACGCAAGACTAGCAAGAGGAGGAGAGAAGAGACGGATCGTGAGGCGGAAATCAAGGCCATGGCAAACTTCGCCCCGGTACGACCGGCGGCCGACCCTTGGACGTCAGGGCGGCCCATCAGGAAACAGAGCAAAAGACTCAAGACCGGCCTCGGCTTTCGTAGGAGCTTCGAAAACCCGCAGTCCGACGTTTCGCTACCGATATCGATTCACTCCAGTATGTCATCCGACACGGAGCTGCATTCGTTCCGAGTGTCTGCCCTCGAGGCACTATCACCCCGACCAACACTACGATACGCAGTATACCCGCGATGGGGTCCTGGACATGGTTCGGCGCCATCGCGCACACAACAACAGAAGAGGAAAGTTTCAGAGAGGGTGCCTGAGTCAGTGGTGAGGGCACACAAGAGGGTCGACAGCTTTGCGGATGACTTGGACGCCGCCGACCTGAGGGAACTGATGGAGAGAGATAACAGGAGGAGAGAAAGGAAACGCCAACGAGATCAGGAACGGATAGAGAGGAGACTGGCACGGAGATCAGAAAAGCAGCGCGAGGCTGTGGCGGAGGCCCGTCACAGCGGATCACCGCCGCCAGTCAACATGGAACGCGGTGTCCTCGGTCGCGAGCTCGGATTGGGGATTGACGCAGCGTCTGCAGTGGTCACCTCTTCCAGGAGACGGTCATGGAGCTCATCAAGGCATTCAAGGAACATTTCAACGACCAAAGACTCCGAGCCGGAGCAGGAGCAGACACAGGAACAGGTGCCGGAGCAGGAACCGCAGCCCGAGACGATGGATATGGAGCCCGAACCGGCGGCCGTGCACCACTTTCACCGGACGACAAGCATCCCGCCAGAGGCACCGCCTTCGCCGACGCTGCCCGCGCAGCCCGTTCCGGAGCGCAAGACGAGCAAGAAACTTACGCCCAAGGCCAGCGTGAGGTTGAAGAGGAGCTTCCTGAGGAGGATTTCGAGATCAAGATCGCCCAATGCCACAGAGTCCGACCAACACGCAATCTCACAATATTCATCGAGACAGGATGAGGGCGAGGCCCCCCGCAAGGACAGCCGTACTCGCATCTCTTTCTCGGCGCTATTCCGCCTGGGCAAGAGGAACAGGAGAAACTCAGGACCGTCTTCCTTCTCGAATACATCGCGCGAGACAATGCAGGCTTCAGCCGCCGCCCAGGTCTACTCGCAGTCGGCGACGCATGTGCCTCAGCCACAAGAAGAGGCGCCAGTACAAGTGCCGATGCCTGCGATCCCCCCACCTGTCAACTATATTCCTCGCAAGGTCAGCAACGGCGTTCCCAAGCGGACTAGGTCGCGCTTCAGGGAGGACTTGCCGGAGCTGCCCCTCAGCCCGCCCGATTCGCGTGTAGGGTCTCCGGAAGTGGAGATGCCTCCTCTGCCTGTTGTCTCAGAGTCCAAGTCGGGAGAGATTTCGCTGCACACCACGCCTGCCGTGAGACATGATACTCCGACATCCGACCTGCGACGCGTTGATGAGAAGATGGAAAAGATGGAGAAGCTGGAGAAGATGCGGCAGACACCCACGTCGCTGCGACATAGCATCCAACCTTCTCCCGAGCCTGTCTCCCTTGCGTCCATTGACTCGGAAGGATCATGGCTCTCCGGCCGCGTCGGAGCCCGTCGCTCGTCGGGCATGCGCGGTAGCATGCAGCGTCTCCCGCCCCACAACATTAGCCATTCCGCCTCGCCCAACGACACGGAGGAAGAGCTCGCCGACGATGAGTACCTGTCCAACCTCGCCACGCCGTCCCGCGAAATGCTCGCCGACGAAGAGCGCACCCCGCGCAAGTCGACGGGCGACGCATTCCCCAGCAGCGACGAGGACGAGATGATGGAAGACGCGGATATGAAGTGGGGCTCGGTCGACAGGCAGCGCACCACGGTCGTGCAGCATCAGAGAGTCAAGAGCCGCGAGGGCATGCTGAAGTCGTACACAGAGGACAGCACGTCGCCCGAGGGCTCCGAGGAAGGCGAGACGCCCAAGCTTCAACGCGCCACGAGCGTGAGCCTCAGCAGAGGCAACGCCAGGCATGTGAGCGCGGGGAGCACCAAGATGCTCGAGGTCTCGCCCCGCTCGAGCGTTGACAACAGGAGGAGTACTGATGCAGTATTTTGATGAGGTTTACCCGGGGATTACTGAAGATGTTTTAACTCAATAGAGAAGATGAACGCCAGCCAAGCCGACGAGACGTACACTCACTCAACATTTCCTTATTATCTCTGCGTCGAGATATATCGACAACCGACACTCGTTAGCATTTCCTTACAACTGTCTATCCACCGACCATATTCACTCATTACACAATATTTTCCTTGCCACTGACGACAAAACCTACAAAAACACTTGGAAAACGACAAAATCCGGATATGTTCTCAAAGCTGGGCTGGCTTCATCGACCCTATTCTACTTCTACATCTTCGCCCTGCTCACAAAGTATGCGATTCATCTCCTCCCTGCTACGACGACAGCACTCATAATGACGCGGAGCTTGTCCTTCAAGACTTGGGCTCCTCTTCGATTCATCCGATGTACGATACGACCTTAACGACCCGCACTTTCTTCATTTCACCGACGACGACGCGTCTATGTATGCGTTCAGCGCGGTGGTATTCCCTTTTCTTCGTTTCATGTTCTGGGGAATACAACGTTTGATACCACGCCTCCTTCTACCCCTTCCCCTCCCCCACTATCCTTTCCGAAGGGAGATGTGGGAGGCGGGCGGGGAGTAGGGGACGATTTGAGATTTTTCTTTCTTTTTCAATGCGACCCTGTGGAAGGGTCACAGCTGCGCACGCTACAACAACAACAACAACAACAACAACAACAACGACAATAACAACAACCCGTTAGACCGGCAGTGACAGCACGCCAGCACTCCTTTTTATGAATGCTCTGCGCTCCTTCGAAGAGATGGAAAAACACCTAGATCTGAGGAGGGGAAAACAGCACGATATGAGAGACATCCAGAGGATGATAAGGAAAATTACAGGAAAAGAGCATTCACGGCGATGCGCTGCCATTCTGCTGATGGGTGGAAATCATGTATGTAGTAAAAGGCATAACAGCAGGAGGACTTTCCTGGATGAGATACCCGAGTAACTCATGTTTGGGAGTAGAGGTACACTATAGATGTACCGGGTGAATGAGAAATCTTGAAACGTATTTGCTCTGAATACTTGATGTGACTTGGTGATTTCGATTCTTTTCTATCATGTATCAAGGCCTTCCAATGCATAGAGAGCCGGGGTATCTCTACAAAAGCAACTCGTTGTTCCATCCACCACAATCACTTCAATGAACCCCTTCCTCCAACCTTTTCATGCTCAAAATCTCGTCACAAATCCATGCGTGGCAGTGGCGATGCCCTAGGCGAGGGTCTCGGAGACGGACTGGGAGAAAGCGATAACCTAGCTCCAATCGACGGCGACCAGTTCCCTCCCCCATCCGAGCCAGATCCCGACGCCGAGCCCGGTCTCGAGGTGGAAGGTCTATCCGCGAACTGCATCTCGGCGAACTGATCGTCTTCGAGGATGTAAATGTTGGCAAGCTCGCCTGGCGGGAACTCGCCCGTCGACGCGAAACAAAACTTATCGCATACTACACGGCGAAAGTATGAGGTCTTGTGGCCGGCGCGACTCGCCGCCACGAGCACGGGTTCTAGGTACAGCCCCACCCGGGTACGCGGCGAGGTATCGTTCGGCCGGCCACTCGCACCGATGGGAATCACGAACATGGACTGCGGCGCGGGACTACCGCGGGGCCCACCGCTGATAGTAGGCGTTAAGCGCACGAGGTTGGCCGTGATGGAGAGGCCCATGTTCGTCATGCTGAACTCCCGAAACGGAGACGGCGGGAGAAGGGCGCGCTGGTGAACGTCGTGCGAGTGGGCAAAGTCGGCGGGCGAGTCGGCGAGCACGCCCGACGACGTAACGGTCCTGGATTGGCGTTCGCCCGTGTACGGGTCCACGAGCAGCTGCTGCGCATCTGCCCTCCACGCAAAGATTGTCTCGTCGGGAGATGTCCGTATGATCTCGTGTTGGAGGCGTTGAAATGCGTGCTTGAGCCCTTCGCCGTATAACACGGGGAAGTTGACGCCGAAGAGGCCCATGAGGCAGTAGGCTAGGTCTTCTGCGCGGGTGGTCTGGCGGTTTGCTGCCCAGGACATGCGTTCTGCGACGGAGTAGTCGCGCGGCTGGCGGGTTTTGGCGAGGACGGACTCAAAGATTCCTGTGATGGAGGAGAGGGCCTGGATAAAGGGGCGTTCGTCGGTGTGCACGCCCTTGGTCCCGAGACGGGACCAGTCCGAGGTGTAGAAGATTGATCTCCGGGGTGCAATGAGTTCCTGGAGTGTCCAGCCGCGAGTGAACCACTTTGAGGAAGCGAGTGATGGGAGCCGGTCCATGGGAGGGGAGGAGGATAGCGGCGGTACATCGGCTAGGTAGACGAAGCAGACGCGGGAGAGGAGGTAGTAAGAGTACATGGAGTTGATGGCCTCGGACAACTCTGCGGAGGAGGTCTTGTCTATGCAGCAGGAATCGATCCAGGCCCATTCAATGTTGTGACGCAGGGCTTGGGTGCAGCATCCTTGGATCTTGGTGAAGCCGGCTTTCTTGGATGCCAGGGGCAGGGTTTGGATGTCTTGAAATGTCACCTCGTCGGATCCCCAAGTGTGTGAGAGGATAGCGTAGGAGGGCACAGTACTGCCGACGATGAACATGCGCAGTTCGTAGGTGGTGGTATTGAGAAGCCACATAGTGCTGGCCTTTTCTGTCTATATCTTGGTTCTTGACGGTGATGTCTGTGGTGCTTTTGATGGAAATTGTGAGGATTGTAGAAAGACAGAAGCTGTGTAATAGGCCATGGAAGTAACCGACGTGATAGTATTGAGTATAACGCCTCTCCTTCTCGACACCGAAACCTCGCTATAGTCTACTGAACAGTCAGATCAGGCAAGGCATCTAGGGGATAGCACGGAAGAGGCGAGGAATACCACAGCCTGGTAGCCTCGTACAACTTGGGCGCAGTCTAGGGCGCTGTCATGATGATTTCGGTAATCGCCTTGCGGTAAGTAATTTGACGACGGCTGAAGAGCAAGAATACTGGTGTTATTGCAGTTCTAGTCTTTACCAGAGAAAGACAAGTTAGAAGAAGGCAGGAAGGGTATCACAAGATGGGAGCACACGACTTGGTGATTCGCAATGTGTAAGTCAAAGGTGGTGCGCAGGTGGACGCACAGCTGCCCCGCCAGCTCCCAAGTGACATCTGGGGGAGGGGCAGCTGATGGCGGCTGCCAGGTGGTGGTAAGGGGCGGACAGATGGCAGCGGATGGCGCGTAGCCAGGGCCGGTTACCTCTGGCAGCTGCACGTGCCTTGATCCACCTTACGTAAGGTTCCCGAAAAGGTACAGGAGAAAAGCACGCAACAACGGACCAAACAGAAACAAGAAGAGAAACATTCAAAGGCCCCACCCCACAGGGCCCGGACCCCGGCGGAAGGGCCGCCATCGGCGTCGGCAATGCCACTGCCGCACTTTCCCGGTTTGCTCTCCAGGGGTCCAGGCGGGCACAGCAGGCAGTCCAGGAACTCCAGTCCACTTGGCACGGAATTCAGTCACCAAGTGTGGGTGACTGGGTGTCGGGTGTCGGGTGGGTGTGTGTGTGACCGTGTGTCCATGCCGCCCTACGCCTTGGGGGGGATCATCTCGGCCATACTTCTCGGCATACCCTTCCTTGCCTACGCAGTACCAAGTGTAATTTACCTTGGACGAAGAGGCGCATTGCAAATCTCTCCCTCGACAACTCCGACTATGGTCCTTCAATAACACCTACCGAAATACCCAAACCGAACCGAAGCGAGCATGGCCACGACCACAACACTGTTCCGAGTGTTCTTGCGCCGCCAGACACCCGGGGCCCAAGGATTGCGAAATCGCTTGGCACAGCAGCAACAGCGCCGCGCCAACTCCAGCACCGAATCACCCAAGCCGAAGAGGGCAGAGGATCCTATTCCCGTGCCAAACACCATCACAACGATTCCGTTATGGCAGCGTCTCGGGCCCTTAACCCGCGCCGGAGAGGGTTATGCCCGAGCCCAGCGCAAGAGGCCTCTGACGACGCAGTTCATCAGCTCTCTGGTCATCTACTTTTGCGCCGACCTCTCCGCCCAGAACATGAGCGGCAACGACTACAACCCCGAGCGGACGATGCGCTCCTTGATCATTGGCGCCATTTCCTCTATCCCCAGTTATAAGTGGTAGGTCTGGTCGTCTTCGGGCTCGTTCTCGTGCTCTCGGCTCTCGCATGGGCTTCGTTTGTTCTGATAGCGACTGACACAGTGTTGTGCGCGACAGGTTCATCTTCCTTTCCCAAAACTTCAACTACGCCTCGCGACTCCTCTCGCTAGCCACCAAGGTCGTGGTGAACCAGGTGTGCTTTACACCCATATTCAACTCGTATTTCTTCGGCATGCAGGCGTTCTTGGCAGGCGACAACTTTGATCAAATCATCGATCGTATCCGACAATGTGTGCCCGTGAGCATCGTCAACTCGTGCAAGCTCTGGCCTGCAGTGACGGCCTTCAGCTTCTCTTTCATCCCGATGGAATATCGCAGCGTGTTCTCGGGCGTGATCGCAGTTGGGTGGCAGACCTATCTGAGTTTCTTGAACAGACAGGCCGAAGTCGTCGAGGAGGCAGAGGAAGTCCAAGAGAGAACGCATGCGGTGCAGGCCATGGCTGCTCCTGAGAGGGCGGTAAAGATGGAGGCTTAAATACCAGAGACGAGCGGGGCGGGAAAGCATAGATATCCTAGACATTCTTTGGCAGCATCATTCTCTTTTGTACTGCATCGGGACGGCGTTTGGGCTAGACGGAGACGGAGACGGCCCATAGAGACATGGAGAACGTCATGATCTGATACGATTTTATTCTTAGAAAAAAAAATACCTTAGACTTTGTACCGTGTCTGTTGGCACTGTTTCGACACTGTCCTCCCGTGCCAGAGCGACGCCAAATGCGCAACCCAAACTTCGCGCCTATTCCGCCTTCGGGCCCTTGACCTCGCCCAGATCACAACTCTTAAATCCACCCCAACGCTGAGCCATTGAGTGCTGGCTAGGACCGGCAACTCTTCTCTACAATGGCATCCATCTGCATGCGATCCTGCCGCGTGCAGTCCGCCCTCCAAACCGCCAGAAATCCTGCCGTCGTCCGTCCCAGACTCCCTAGCAACATCCCTCGACGTCATGCCTCTACCGGCACCGGCTCCTCGACAGAATCCCAGGCCGGCTCGGGTCTGAAGACTGGCCTGTACAGCATTGCCCTCGCCGGGTCCCTCTACGTCTCCTATCTCTATGTCACCGACACCAGAGCCTCGATCCACGGATTGGCGCCCATCTTGATGCGCTTTGCCTGGAGCGACGCTGAGGACGCCCACCACGCCGGCACTGGCATGATGAAGACCCTCTACGATCTTGGCCTTCACATCCGCGAGCGCGACAGAACCCTCGCCGAACATCCTGCTCTGGCGACCGAAGTCTACGGTATGAAGCTCGCCAACCCCATTGGCATCAGCGCCGGTCTCGATAAGCACGCCGACATCCCTGACGCCCTCTTCGCCCTCGGTGCCGGCATCGTCGAGGTCGGTGGCTGCACGCCCCGCCCGCAGGACGGCAACCCCCGCCCTCGCGTATTCCGCGTTCCGAGTCTCGACGGCATGATCAACCGATACGGTCTCAACTCGCGGGGTGCCGATAGCATGGCTATCACACTGAGGGAGCGCGTCCGCAAGTTCGCTCGCAAGGTTGGCGCGACGGAGCAGGAAGTTCTGGATGGCGATGCTGGTGTTCCTGCTGGCAGTTTGCTCCCCGGCAGACTGCTGGCTGTGCAGATTGCCAAGAACAAGGAGACGGACCAAAAGGATGTCAATGCCGTCGCTCAGGACTACGTCTACTGCGTGCAGCGTCTTGCTAGGTATGCCGATATCCTGGTGGTCAACGTCAGCAGCCCCAACACCCCTGGCCTCCGCGATTTGCAGGCAACGGAACCTTTGACGAGGTTGTTGAGCGCTGTCGTTCAGGAGGCTCGCAAGGTGGACCGCAAGGTTCCCCCCAAGGTCATGGTCAAGGTTTCCCCTGACGAGGAGGAGGATACCCAGCTCGAGGGCATCGTCCAGGCCGTCTGTAGCAGCGGTGTCGACGGCGTCATCGTGGGCAACACCACCAACCGTCGCACTGGCATCGTTCCCCAGGGCATCAAGCTTACCGCCAAGGAGCAGAAGGCTCTGCAGGAGACAGGCGGATACTCGGGACCTGCCATGTACAGCAGGACTCTGGATTTGGTCGGAAGATATCGCAAGAAGCTCGATGCCCAGACCCTTCAGACCGGCTCGGCCGAGGAGGCGGCCGCCATTCCTGACGTAGACGGCTCCCTCTCCGGCAAGCTTCACGATCTGATTGAGGGTAAGGATACCCCGAGAAAGGTCATCTTCGCGACGGGCGGCATCACAAATGGAGAGCAGGCGCTCAAGATTCTCAACGCGGGCGCCAGCGTGGCCATGGTGTACACTGGCTTGACGTACGGCGGACCGGGAATAATTACAAAGATAAAAAGGGAGATCAAGGACCAGGCGTAGAATACCAAGTTAGTAAATAGAAGATTGACTGCTCAGTGCGGGATCATATGGCCGCTCACATCTGCCGTCGCCGTGGTAAGATCGGCTAGATCCACCTTGCAGACTCCGAGGTATCTGGGGAAATCACAATGGAGGAAACCATTGTGGGGATTCGACCATCGAAGCCCCGTCCTCTCTCATACCACAAGCACCCGTATAATCACTCATTGTAAGCCACCTTTAATAGCACGAGCTTGAAGAATGTTTGATGTGTTACTCATTTAATTGCCTTTACGGCGTTGTTAATTAGCAGGGAAAAGCAACTACAGAACGCCCGACTCCGTGTGACCCGGCAGCGAGCTGCGCCTATCAAGATACCTTCTCCTCAGGATAATCATATTCCTCTGCCTCCTCCTTTCCATGCTGATGGCGGCGTGGATGAACGCCTGATGCTGCACTACCGTTGATGATGCCCCAATAATGAATACCGCCCTTCCCTCTAAATTCTAGACCATGACCGGGTACTGCGTCTACTCCTGGCCTACGACGACAAACTCGGGCGCATTCTCAAAGCCCACAACGGTAACAGGCTGGAGTTGAGCAAGCTTCACCAGCTTCTCGCGAGCTGCCTCATTGAGCTTAACCTCTCCATTCTTCTCCTCGCAAGGGCGCACCTCGATACCAGTGGGGTACAGGTGCTCAATCTCAACATCCTCGCCGAGATCAAAGAGCTCAGACTTTTCGCGGAAGCACCAAGGACGACCGTCCCGCATGACCAAGTCGTGCGTGTCGCGGACGTCCTTGGCGTGCAGAGAACGGTACCCGCCGTCCAGGGAGACGGCGATGGAGCTGTGCCAGGGGGTACGGGGGAACCCGTCGGGGTTGTGCTTCTCGACCAGCAGCGGCATGGAGAGCTTGACGGCGCCGCTGGAGGGGTGGATGGAGAGGCGGACGTGATCGGGGCAGGTGGCGAGGATGATCTTGGTGAAGGACTCGGCGCGCATCATCATTTTCATGGCGACCTCCTTGACGACCTTGCGGTACTTGTGGCCCGAGGTGGCGTGGGCTGCGACGGGACTGTTGCGGAGGTCCGTCTCGAGGAAGCGGATGAAGCCGCGGTAGGTCATGAGCGTGTCGTTGTCGGTCTCCATCATGGCGCGGACATCCTTGTCTGGGTCACCAAATTGGGCTTCGAGGGTCTTGCGGCTCTCGTCGACGAGTTCCATGTACTTTTCCTTGGTAAGGGGTTCGTTCTCGTTGGTGAGGCCGAGGAAGTCCATGACGCGGAGGAGCTTGATGCCGTCGTAGCCCTTTTGGGCGGCCATGTCCATGAGAGTGGCGCCGTACTCCCAGGTCTCATCGTCTGAGATGCCGACGACGTCTGATTGGGAAGTTAGTGAGTGGGCTCGAATATTCCTGTACAGAAGTGGAAAGGCTTACCGTTGAAGACCAACCCGTCGGTGGCAATGTGAACCTCGGCACCGTGGGTGTAGACCTTGCCAATCTCGACGCAGAGATCGTTGAGTCTTGCGAGAGCCAGATCTTCTCCGAGATCAGGAAGGACACCCGTCACCTTGTCGGTTCGGTTGATGCTCTTCCACGGGAAAGCAGGGATGATCATCTTGACCGAGTCTCCCTTCTTGACGTACTCTTCAACACGACCGTGGAACATCTTGCGTCCAAGCCATTCGTGGTTCTCCTGGCCCTCGGGGATGATGTGTCGTCCAAAGGCTTGGAGAACATCCAAAATCTTGTGAGCAACTTGCTCAGTAGACTGCTCAAGGGGAGGAGTAGGGAGTGTCTCTGTGATAGTAGGTGCATCTACGTCTAGAATGTTAGTTAGACGTCTCTCGAAGTGCGAATGATGCATGTAACTCACCTCTCTCGACGACATCATCAATAACAGCATCGATGCTGGCGTTCCTCAAGGGGCTATGGAAAGCACTGAAGGGGCTCTTGGTTGCGCTCACAGGGCTCCTCAACGTCTGTTCAGGAGGCTGCAGGTCGACGGGGTCGATGGGAGAACCGATTTCAAGGTCGGAGAACTCGACGCGCATCTGCCTCAGGGGGCTGAGAGGGCTTCTCAAGTCCGAGACACTGAGGGGAGAGATGGAGCTGAGGGGGCTCTTGAGCTCCGAGCCAAGACTCGGGCGTCTGTATGTCGGAGCACGGAGTTGGAGGACCGGTCTCGCCATGAGCTTCCCGGTGGAGGATGCCGGCTTCTTGGCGTCTGTGGGAGAAACGGGGACGGTGTCTGCTGAGATGGCCATTTTGATGGTTGATTAGAGATGTTATACCAAGGGTGTATGCCGTGAGGTGATGGAAGTGAACTTGAGAAAGGAGAAAGGAAACGATGCTTGATTGTGTTATATGAGAAGGATGATCTGGGTTGTAGATAATGCATAGCCATCAGGGCCGGTCTTTGAGATTCTTCTTATACTTGGAATTCACTTTGGCCTAGATCAGGAACCTCCTTAGAGAATGCCATCTGGATATCTTGTAGTATGCCGCATGCATTCACGACGCTACTCGGAAACTTTCCCATTGTCGAAGCCCAGGTTTGAATCGCAGTGCACTGTGGCGTCTAGGCTGAGCTACCACAAGCCAAGGCTGGAGTCTGGCCATGGGTATGCATCGTTACATGGGAGTGGCCGTGTCTGCATGCACCTGCAGAAGCAGCCGAGGGTACGCGTTGCCCTTCTCCATGGTCTAACTACTTTACCTGACTTGAATCAAAATAAGCACAGCTGGTGGCCTCACGCTTGAGGCAAAGGCATTGTCTTACCTCGTGTCAGCGATGAGACTAGATCAACACCGGCTATACCGGCATGATGGACACGAATGCTTAGCTTCTCCAGTCCTCGCGCGTGCGTCCCCTAATTCTCTGATTGCTAAAGAGCAGATGGGAACTTGGTGGGCTCCATGAATCTGTGGAGGTACCTCCCACGTTCGAAGGCTTTGGAACGTAACACGACCTAGCCCTAACCGTGTCGTTTGGCTGAAGAGGCTTGACATGGCTGTCGGCTACTAGTCCCAGAGCAGTCCAGCCAATGGATTGACACGTCTGAATTAGTCTTGACCTAAGTTGTCGAGCTAAGCCCATCCGATTTTAGGTTCGTGAAGCTGGGAAAATGATCCATCATCAAGTATCTAGAACTTGTTGGTTCGCCCGTCGCATTCCGGCCATCTCTGCTGTTTGCCCCAGTCAGCCAGGCTGAGCTGGCATCACCGGCGTCGTGAGCGAGGCGCTGGTCTGGTAAACTCAATTACATGCCGTATCCGGAGACTTTGAGAGCTATTTTCCATTTGCCGTAAAAGAACCAATGGCTCGGTACAGCATTCTGTGTCTTGAGAATCTCGGTTTCCTTTTGTCAGCGTGATAACCCCTCGTTTTCTTTAGTACTTGGCCCACAATCGAGAGTTTGATATTCATTCCTCGACTTGCTTCCCAATCTTCGGCGATATTTGCTCGACAGACTAAGTTCAACTTGCTTACTATTCACATCACCATGATGGAGAAAGATCTCCCACCTCTACCAGTTGTCCAAAGCGTGCAATACGATGAGCATCATCAACTGACACCTTCCGACCACCACGCCCACACCACAACCTACAGCCACAGCCAAGTAATCATGTCGAGCAAGGAAGAGCATCATGTCCGACCACAAAGCCAGAGTCTTTCCGAAGGCCAGCAACGATCATTACAAGCAGACGAAGAAAAAGCCGAACTCGTACCTCCCACTATCGACGGGCCAGACGGTGGTTTCCAAGGCTGGCTCCAAGTCCTCGTCGCATTCCTGCTCGTGTTAGACGGCTTCGGCTTCATAACGGCCTTTGGTGTCTTCCAAGCATCATATGTCAAAATCTTACCGGACAGTTCAAGCTCGGATATTTCGTGGATCGGATCGATGCAGATTTTCCTCCTTTTTCTACTGGGAACACTGAGCGGCAGACTCATCGACGCCGGTCACTTCAGAATCACGTTGATCACCGGCATCGTCTTCCAAGTCGGAGGCATCTTTGGAGCCTCATTCTCCAGCAAATACTGGCACTTTCTCCTCTCACAAGGCATCGCCACTGGTATTGGCAATGGCATGCACTTCACCGCGCTTGTCTGGCTGGTCTCGCAATACTTCACAAAGAGGCGGGGTCTAGCGCTCGGGATCAGTTCCTGCGGTGCCCCCATCGGCGCCGTCATCTTCACCATCATCGCCCGAGAGATGATCCCAAGAACGGGAATCCAGTGGACGCTTCGCACCATGGGTTTCTTGGTTCTTGCTGACAGCATCGTCATTTACCTCATTGCACGACCCAAGGCTGCGACGCGCAAGGGTGGCCCCCTGCTCGAGCTGTCAGCATTCAAGGAACTGCCGTATCTCCTATTCACCATTGGCATGTTCTTCGCCTTGCTGGGTGTTTACTTTGCATACTATTATGTACGTACTTTCGCTGACTGTCTCCTTTGCATTTCTATCAGAACTTGTGAACTGACATCTTTCTCACCAGGTACCCCTTTTCAGTCGCAACAAGCTCGGCCTAGATGACAGCGGGGCCTTGACTGTCCTCATCGTCATGTCAGCCGTGGGCATCATTGGTCGACTTATCCCCCCGTATCTCGCCGACAAAAGCATCAAGCCTCTCAGAACACTCGTCATATCACTGCTCTTGAGCAGTCTCAACGTTTTTGCCTGGATCGCCGTGAGCTCCATGGCTGGACTCTACGTCTGGGTCATTGCATACGCCTTCACTGCCAACGCAGTGCAGACGCTGTTCACGGCTTCCATGGGGGAGGTCACGTCGGACATGTCAAAGCTCGGAGTCCGGATCGGCATGGTATTCACCATTGTCAGTTTTGCTTGTCTCGCTGGTCCTCCTATTGGTGGAAGTCTTGTTGGGTTGAATCACGGCAATTTCCTCTATGCGCAACTATTTGCTGGCGCTTCCATGCTGTTGGGGGGTCTTCTGGTTGCACTGGCGAAGATCAAGCAGGTTGGACAGAAGGACTTCTGGCGGATTTAGGACTTTTATTTGCATTCCCTTTTTCTCTCTCTCTCCAGGGATACCTCATCTTCATCTGTTGAAAGCACATTTGCAATAGCAAAAGCATTCAGCGGCGTTTCTCGATTTCTAGGCTGTTGGCATAGGGCGTTTGTTTCTAAATTGGAATATCACGGGGTAGGTGACTGGGAGTTCAGAGTAAACAGTTTCAAACACCGAATTCTTGCCTGCCACCGTATCTATCTATCACAGCTCCCTTGAAACGAAATCACCAACGCCAACGTGAAATTGGTAGCACCAAAGTATGCGCAAGAGTTCTCATCTCCGCAGTCATTTTGCGCTAGGCTGATAGCGAGCCCCTTCCGTTCGAGCCCGGACATTGCGGCACATTCTTGACAATCTGGGGAGATACCGCCTCATCGGATGCCAGGCATGAGAAGCTAGCACCCTGGAGCTATCGTGGCTTACCACGAATTCTGGCCAGAGGGCCTTCGAAGCCGTTTCGAGCTTGGCGCCAATGGGCTGGCTTTTTTTTGGCGTCTTTGGAAGAAGCGTCCCATTCACTGCAGAGAAAATGAAAGTAGAAATTCATCTGAAAGATAGTTGGCAGCTCTTTGCTGAAATCGATGCAGGATGCAAGCAGCTTGACATCTCTGGCTAGATCATTTGATGCGAACCAACATTTAGCTCCTACCTTAAATCCTTTGTTCTAGTGGCCATTCCCATTCGACAGAAGCCGCTGCGCAGCCGGTCAGTCGACTCGCTCAACTTGATCTAGTCAGCCTAGCTCGTTCCACAGCCCTAGACCCGGCCCTGCGGTGCCACGCTTCGACGGAAGTGACACAGAGCTAATAAGTTTCCGAGACCAGATATCAAGAAATCGAGGGTGCTTGAGACCATTTAAGCACACCTGCTGCAGTAAGGGATACAACTCATCGGCAACAACTCGTTGACAGGCGAATTGCAGGTCGATAGCAAACAAGTACAGCAGCAGACCCCAGCTCCATTGAATAGGTAATAACAAATTAAGCAAACTGGTAAACCAGTTGTATACGAGCGTACCGGCAGATCCGTGCTTTAGCGGCATGGCAACCATGCATGTCAGGAATTGTGGCGATGGCCGCGTGCGGCAACTTCTCCAGTGTTGGCATTTCAGCTTCAAGCCACATGCAGCTCGATGTCTTTTCCAGTCGTTCAACGTTCAGCCCAACCCGACGGGAAAGCCACGAGCGTGCCACCCCGGAAGCACCGTACGACCCTGGGATTCCGACTTTCTATTTTCTCTTTACCCTTGGCGGAAGTCTTTGGGGCAAACTAGCCCCATGCGCTGGGATCATGAATGTCGCCGCCCGGCTAGGCGCTTCGACGAATTCCGTCGAGGCCTTCTCAAATAGGTGAGCTACAAAGTGAGATGGCAGTGTTGTTAGTTCTGATGCATCAGTTATAAGTTGTACGCAGACGTCTGTGTCGCATTCTTTGGTCCGCTTGTCTGTCACTTTTACCAGACCCAACTATCATTACCTTTGCTTTCTACTTTCGATAGCAAGATGAAGTCTTCAGTATTGATAGCCTTGAGGTATTACGTTTTCTGTCCACCCGTGCCTATTCTCCGTCAGCACTAACATATTCCAAGGTTGTGCGGCCTCCTTTCGGGCATCTCGCATACAGTGGATGCCTTCTCGGGGACTGCGGCGAGTATTCCCACAAGTACGCCGACTCCAACCTGCCTGCCTCGATATTTGGGGGCCAAATCGAGCGAGAAGAAAGCTAGCCCGCCGTGGGGTAGCCGGACATGCGAATCTGATCCTGAGAATGTGCCTGACACTGGCGTCGTACGAAAATATGAATGGACGATACAACGGGCTGTCCTTGCACCGGATGGATTTGGTACGTTACATCGGTGTTTACTTTGCCTTCAGACGATCTTCACGTCGATCTAGCGAGGCAGAGTAGTTTCACCACATATTCTTGGTCAGTGGCTGATCATAATCATCGCCTGCAGAACAGACACTTCTCACTGTCAATGGCCAGTTCCCTGGGCCTCTCGTTGAGGCCAACTGGGGGGATATTGTCGAGGTCACCGTCCATAACAACATCACGGGTCCGGAGGAAGGCACAGCAATGCATTGGCATGGGTGAGTAGACACTCCTTAAGAATAACACAGTCTTGATGGGCTTCACGCTTACATTGTATGTAGCATACACCAGCAAGGGACTGGGCTCATGGACGGAGTCAGCGGTATCACGCAATGCCCCATTGTACCTGGTGGAAGCTTTACGTATCGCTGGAGAGCCAGCACGTATGGCTCGACTTGGTACCATGGCCATCACGCACTGCAGTATGGTGGAGGGCTGTGGGGTCCTATGGTTATCTACGGCCCTTCTCACGTCGAATACGATCTCGACTTAGGACCTGTTACACTCTCCGATTATTATCACTACCCTTACGAGAAGATTGCCTCGGATGCTATATCGACCAGTAACGATACCAGTGTTTACGCCCCCAATTCGAACAACCACTTGATCAACGGAATGAATCACTTCAATTGCTCATTGGCTCCCGCAAACACGACCTGCAAGAGTAATGCCCCACGCGCATCGCTGAGATTCAAGTCTGGCAAAGTGCACAAACTCCGGTTGATCAACACAAGTGTCGAAGCTATGCAGATCTTTTCCATCGATGGCCACAAGCTCATTGTGACCACAATGGACTTCGTGCCCGTAGAGCCTTACGAAGTGGAGTACATAATCCTCGGCGTCGGCATGCGAGCTGAAGTTCTCGTAAAGGGAAATGGAGACCCGACGCGGTCGTACTACATGCGCTCGAGAATCCAATGTGCTGTCACGAAAGTCAACGAGACACTAGGCACTATCTTCTACGACGAAACGCCTTCCACGATTGTGCCAGTCACCAAGACCGTTGCGGCTCTGCCAAACTTCTCTTCGACATGTGGTGATGTAAGTACTCACTCGGTGCTATATCCCCTCCAAGTAAGCCGTCGTGCTAACCCACGCTACCTTTTTAGCCTGATCTTCACTTGAAAAAGCCGATTTATAAGAAGCGTGTTCCTAAGCCCGACTTGACATTGCTCTACGACATCGAATTTCGAGCCAACGCTAGCGGCAACCATGAATGGTTGATGAACAACGTCACTTTCCAAGCCGACTGGAGCCGTCCTTTGTACATTGAGGCGGTAGATGGCCATGCCGAGTATCTCAAGGACCCCCAACACATCTTGGCCACGATTCCTGACGATGTCCGCCATGTTCGTGTTATCCTCAACAACCATTTCTCTGTCCATCCGATGCACATTCATGGCGGTGACTTCCAGATCCTGAGCGAATCAGACGGGTTCTATAACGGCAGTCTCAAGTATCCTAAGAATCCGGCCCGCGCCGACACGGAACTTCTCCGACGTAACGGCAATCTTGTTGTGCAGTTCGAAGCCAAAAACCCGGGAATTTGGAGTTTCCACTGCCATACTGCGTGGCATGCCAGCGTTGGTCTCTACATCAACTTCCTGGTCAAGCCAAAGAAAGTTCAGCAAAGTAAGATCCCTGACGACGTACGCGAGGTTTGCGCGGCTTGGGATGACTATAGACAACTGCATGGCGAGAATGCTCTACCTTTTGACAGTGGGCTTCGATAAGACCTGGATGTTCGGCAAAAAGATTGTCATCTTGTGAATTTGTGTTTGGGGCTGTCGCTGTGACGTAAAAATGATGGATCTTGCATAGCGAGGAGTTCAGTTGATTGCTTAATACTTTCATCTAATCACTTAGTATAATTATTTAGCTCATGAAGCAAGAACTGCACTTGTAGAATGAGCTCTTTACTTCAACTATGCACCGCACAAGCGCGAAGTCAGACCCGAGAGTAGATATGAAAGCTTGGTGCCAGCCTTTAATCCCCTCAAAATAGCGACCAAATCATGCGCCATTGTTTGAAGAACACCCGCATTTGCTGCACTTGTCTAGATGCTAAGCCGTCACATCCCGTTCCGTGCCATTCCTCAGCATAACGACCTTACACAAGCGCCTCCCACAACTTGTTCGTCGCTGTCAAGCCTTAAAAAGCTCAAAGATGCGCTCTTGAGGATCTTCCATCGCTCATTCTTTGGTTTCGTCCCCGCACGAAGACTTGTCCATCAGCTCTTGTGCTTCCGGGTCTTGGTACTGCCGCCTCGGCCAAAAACCACCTGAAAGCCAGACCGTAGCAACAAGGGAGCGCTTTCTCAAAGTTGAAGGCGCAACTCCATAGCCAGTAGCAGCATCCCAGATGTGAGAAGCTACTCCGGCGGCATAATGGTGCCCGCTTGTCTGTTGGATGACAAAGCCTATGACCGCGACGGGGCAGTAAATAGCTATTTGCACGGTCGCGACTGGCACAATCAAGACGCAGCCTACCATCCAGAGGAGCATGATGATTGATTGGATAATTGAGAGAAGAAGCCAGAAGATTAGACGCAATCTCGGTTTGGTCGGACATTGGGGGTTTGGCGCCATACTATCCTCGCGCATGTCGATAGCCGCCGTCATAAACGAAACCGCCAGCACGACTGCGGAAAATACGGTAGCCATGGTCACGGAGTGATTGACCAAGGCTTTCAAATGAGGATCCATGACTTGAGCAACAGTTACGACGGACTTGTCGAAGAATTCGGATGGGATTGCAATCGTGCTCTTGATGATGACACAAAAATGAGGTTGGAACAGGCTGATTTATTTAAAGCAGAACGTAGAAGGTGAGAGTGGAATGCAAATAACACTTGAGATAGTTAGAACAATATCGTCATGCCAACAAGGTGGTGTAGCCGTATTGGGGGCCGGTCGCTGCGGTAGTTGTTCGCATAAATTCCTCCCAATAAACCTTAAGTGGTACTGATGGGAATCATGCTGCAATTGAGGTCCCAGACTGCCGTAGTGCCAAATTCTTCTCTTAAACTTTCATTGCTACAGAATAGATTTAAATCTGAGCGGTCAAGGTGTGCTAACAGTGAGACCCCCAGCTTGAGGTTTGTCATCTCCATAGCTTCAATAGATTGGTGTTGGAAGTCTCCGAAGGGACCGAAACATTAGTGCCTCTCATATCATGATGACTACAGGTTTGACCAGGGTTTATATCCTTCCTCACACATCAGTTTCTGGAACTGACGTCGTCTAATGCCCACGTTGCCTCCATCGAACAAGGGGAAAACGGCCGCATCGGCCAAGAGGCGCGAGAAGCCAGCGCTTTCGGCGTATGAGGTCCTGGTCAGGTAAGAATACATTCAGATACTAGATTCAAGAGTGAAGCGACTTACATGCCAACCACTTGCATGCAGTCCCACACGCAGGTGACTGCGGAGTCACTGCTGTAAATCTTGGCTGTGAGGCAAGACTCAAATCGAGCCTTGGCGTCGCCAGGACCATTGTCCAAGCTATCGAGGGCTTTCCAAACTAACATTCGGGAGGTATCGATCTTGATCTTTGCACTGATGAGCAGGTCTGCGGGACTTTGTCTCTGAATGATGGGCATAGATCCACCGCGATGATCTTTCTTTGCGAATTCGAGTGCCTTCTCAAAAGCGGCGCGCATGGTGCCGACTGCCATGGCCCCGACTAGGGCTCCAGAGATGCCAAAGGCTTGTTCGATGTATGGCCCAGCCTTGCCAGGGGCAAATAGAACGTGGTCAGCTGGGACTTTGAAGTTAGTGTATCGGGTGTGGGGGCCGGTGACAGCGATGTGCCCGAAAAGCTCAGGCTCGCTGAGAAGTTCAAAGGCTTCCGGAGGATTCTGAGCCACGACCTCTCGAGTCACGAGGAATACCATCAAGTTGTCCACAGGGTTGACGTCGGATTTCTCTGAGCCACCATCCTCAGAATAGCGTGCGCAGAGGCATGTAAGTTCGGCTCCTTTGCCATCCCAGCCGGCACTGTTTGTCGTCCACAGCTATTGCAAGATCAGACTTATATGGTTATAGGGGGTCTGAATTATGTGAGCTTCTTACCTTTTCACCGTTAACAATGTAGAAATCCCCTTCTTTCCTGGCAGTTACTCCAAGACCTTTCCCTCCTTGCTCAAGGTGATTGGCAGTGCCGCCTGGTTCGGAGTGAGCCAGACTCGCCAGGGGGTCGCCTTCACCAGAAAGAAATGGCTTCAAGAACCTCTCTTTCTGCTCAGTCGTGCCACCAAGAACCAGAGGCAATAGTCCTAAAGCACTGCCAACTATGTGAATTACAATGCTAGACTCGACTGCATAAAGCTCCTCTAAAAGGAAGGCAGTTTCCAAAAGTGTATCCGCATCGCCACCCGCGGCTTTGGGGACAAATGCCTTGAGCAACCCCGCTTTCACCAACTTGGCGTAGTAAGGTCGAGTTGCACGGAATCGCGTGAGTTGGTCTGGGTACTTGGAGTAATCCGCGTAAGCTTGTGTAAGGACTTCTTTTGCAACTGCAGCCCCTTTGGTCCGTAAAGCCTTTTGGTCTTCGGTGAGACTGAACTGAACCATTTTGAATGCAATCTCTGACCTAAGCCGATACTGTGATTTGGTTAGCTTGGTGAATAAATTAGAACGTGGACTTACTTACAATTAAATATTTGAGACGTAAGGTATCGTCTACTGAAGTTTGACTCTCGGTACTGATGGTACGTTGAAAGTAACAGCTCCCATAGGCTTTTGAGGCAGCTGCTTCTTATATGTCGTCAACACATCTCCTCAGGGATTCGGCACTTGGAGGACCTATCGAAGATGGAGGCGTGCTAGAGCTGATGCTTCTCAATCAGAACACCAAACCTCCAACAAGTGCCATCTTTCGAAACATCCCTATCTTCAGCTTCTCAGTCGCCGATCAACTAGACTCACCTATATTCTTGATTCCGCGGAAGTCCAACATCCAAGCAGGGTTGTTCTATCTTATCACTGACCATGGGGTTGGCCGCGTAGAGATGTATATCGCGGTTGAGCATTACCCGCTCGGTGAGTCTGGAGGTGTGGCTTCCGCGGCTAAGCATTACCCGGAAGTGGTAGCCACTCGGAGTAGCAGGGCTTATCCACACGCCGTATCTAAGTTGACAGTCCCCGCATTCTGCTGATATAGGATCTGCCGGAGTTCACGGGTTGATCTATATCAGATAAACCTCGTCATCACAGCCTCTATCATTGGTCGTGGCATAAAGAATAAAAGATTCGGTAGCATGGTCACATGGCGGGAATTGGCGTGCAATAGTCTCGTCGATCCTTACGCGAAGGCAGACGTAGAGACTTGTAGTCAGAAACTAATTACATGGTCAATACCACACCGAAATAATTACCTATGAACATGCGATGGATTGATAGGATTGTCTGCCCGGCTGCCGTTGCAAGTCGCCAGAGTGCAACGCTAGTTTCATGCACCAAGCGCTTGTTACAGGACAAACAGGTAGGGTCGGCATGTACGGAGCCTGAAAAGTCCTAGCGTCGGATGGTTGATCTTCTTTCCCGAAGCATTTGTTGACTTACTTACTTAGTTATGGGCCGAGATACTCTCATGATACTGAGGACTAGCAACGCCGCATCGAAGCGGGTAGAAATGCATTTTACACATACAAATGATTGTGATTTCGATTTAGACGAACTAGACGATACATGTTCCAACTAAGTGCTGTAGGTATCTTTTGTGCCATGAAGACTCATAGGGTTTGGAATAACGAAGAAGGACCTTTATATTCCCCACCTTACAAGTCCTGCGGCTTCTGAATGTCATTGGTAAAGACTGAGCTTTGATATGATGCATTCAGCAAGGGCCATCCTTGACGCCAGGACCACTGTAGTTCTGGCAAGGGGTTTTGGCATCGGTGCAGACGTTTACCAGAGTTGCCTTATCGCCATTGGCCTTGGTGATTCCAGCAACCTCACCTCCATTGCGGGCAGTCACGCCCTCAATGTAGACCTCACGGGCGCACTTCTCGCACTAGAATCATGTGGTAAGTTTTCGGCTAGACCTCCGTGGGAGTAAAAGTGGGAGTAACTCACCGTTCCGTAAGAGCGATAGACCTTTCCGTAGTCGTTTGCGTAGAAGTTGATGATCGTTTCGAAAGTTAGTCAATAGCATTCAAAGGTATGTATAGGGATAGTGTAACTCACGTTCACACGGCCGCAGCCATTATGCTGAATGATCTTGTCGGCTGCGTGGTAGGCTCCTCCTCCAACGATCCAGGTAACGTCACCGGCTTTGTCATTCTTCTGAATAGTCCATAGGATTAGCGATACAGAGAGTGCAAATCATATCGTTTGAGGACTTACGATGGAGATGGCGTCCTCGCAAACATCTTCGAACCAGACGAACTCGATGTTGCATCCACCGCCTAGGCAGTAAACGCCCTCACCAGCAGTCTTCCCAATGATTACGTTTCGCAGGGTGGCACCCTTCTGTAAAACGAAAGCTGTGTCTTTCTCTCCTAAGATTATTATACTACTGTAAGCATATAGATAGTAGAGCGCAAGGCAGGAACTTTGGTTGAAAGGATGGGTTCCCCAATCGTACCTCCTTCCACCTGCTCTCTGCAAGAGGTGGGATTTCTATCATACTTGGCCCAACCACCGTCGAATACCTCACCGGATTTCACATAGATGGGAGCGGATATTTGCTTGTTGGAAGTGGCCTTGGGCAAACCGCCCTCGTACCCCAAACATGCTAATGTCGTGGGAAGGGCCCCCAGAAGAGCGGCGGCCAGGACTCCAATCTTGCTAAGCATTGTTCTAAATGAGGTTGAACCTGATGGAAAAAGCTTGAGGATGTAAAAAGTTGCTGTTTGGATATAGCATTCTCGTCCTAATAATGATTGCGGGGGAGAGGGTTTATAGAAACTTCAGTCCAGAGACCATGAAGCGTCATCAATAGGTAAGGTAAGCGGTAAACTTTCGCGAAATGGTTCGCATCGAGCATTGTGACCTAGGTCAGATGCCTTCAGAATATGATTTCTTGGTTCATTAATTTAAGGTATCTATAATGATTTTTGAGTCGTGGGAAATCTTCCTGGTTGCTGGAAAGCTTGGATAATTTCCGTAGCTTCCTGTTTTGAGGGCCTGAAATCCTAAGAGTCATCGTCGTTGGCGCAGAAATGAAGTCCGAACTAAGGACATTTCAAAGCATCCTCTTTCTGAATCTTGGAGATAATTGATAGTCCCACCAATTGGAGGAGACTACATATGCAGCATAAGAAAAACGCACGCTTGGTGGCCTGCAATCGGCGCGTAGTTTAGCATTTGACTGTTTGACACGACCATCCATGGAATCGAGGTACTTAGGGCACGTATGATTTAATTTTTATTCAAAGCCAAGGGCTTATTGGAAGTGGCCCCGCTGAGTAGATCTTAAGCATGTCGATCATTGAACAGTGAAGATGAGAAAATCAAGGGTTCATTAACCCCTAGTCTGGCCGAAGTCAGCAGTTCTGCGGGCCAAAGAGCTACTCTACCTTAGACTAAGAAATACCTGCTACGTACTGGTCTCTTGGCTCAAACATACGAACCGTGATGCTGTATTCCCGTGGAGTCTATGGAGTCGTGATTCAAGTCGGGACTTGTGTTCACGAGTAGAGTTGTGGCTGGATATATCGCCCAAACACCGTGGATGCATTTCATGATCAAGCTCAAGTTATAACCGATCCCATGACTTTTTTTCACATCAGACACTGGCTGAAGTCCCCGGACATTGAGGATGCCAATGGCTTGGCTTGAGTTTGAAAGGCGGCCAAGGCGAGTAAGGTGACAGGGGCGAAGCCGAATTCCGCCTTGGGCCCTGGGGTAAGAGCGAGGATCTGGAGATGCAATTCCCCCTAGCACGACCAGGAATCAAAAGATTTGCCGTTCCGTCCGCGACTGAATTAGCATGGCATCTTGGCCGGATGGTGATATGTCAGACTGGGCAATGCACATCACTCAAATGCGGAGTCAATGAAGATGGCACGACACTCGTACTCAGGTACTTAGCCACAAGGCCAGAAGGAAAGTGTCAATGTTACTAAGGTACTTAATATCACATGTCGACTGTCTACCTTAAGGGGACCGACAGTTGGCCTTAATGCAATTTCGTGTTCATAGGGTGAATGAATACTGGAAGGCAGCATGTCCGAGAAATGTGCCTTTTATAAGCCCTCCATCGCCAATGTTGAACTGGATTGAGATGTACCTTTGATCAATTCTAAGAATGATGAATCTTAGGTACATTCTGCCGAAGTGTACATGTAGAGTTGTCGGAAAGTCTCGTGCTCTGGGTGTCGTCAACTTAGTACCTACCGAAGACTCCGTCGGGGAAAGTGTATTATACTTACCTCGATCCCTTCAAGTTTGGCTTGCCGCTTCTGTGTTCGACTGCCTTCTCTGAAACCTGAGGTTTCGGCGCTAAAGCTTCCGCGGAGCTTGAGTCTTTGCATTCGTCTCCGACAAGCCACATACTGTAGTTCAGCCAGGAATTGAGGGCATGATGGCATGAGAAGAAGGCAGTAAGCAACATATCGGCCGCGTTTACAGTTCTGCTGCAATCGAAAGGATCACAGACGGGTTCGATGCATGATCCGAAGAGGAAGCCAGGGACAATAGCAATGATTGCCAGACCAAGGATTACGATGCAATAGGCTAGCATCGGCGTCGAAAGGATGATAAATCCGAGAAACGTCAGACACCAGGTGGCTGCGAATTGAGCAGACGAGAGCTTGTCACCTGCCAACCGATCGTCCTGTTCACCAACGACAACAGCATGAGCCACAAATGCAATTCACGATGTCGAGGTCAGCATTGCAACGCTTGCGACAATAATCCAACCTGTTTCTCCCGTGATATGTATAGCGACTGCCTCTTTCTCAGTGGTGGTTATAATAGAGCTGAACCTTCAGTGAAGTATTCTTGGTCTGATGGACTTTGAGCGAGAGCACTGAAGAAATGTGTTTCGGGCTTGCAGAGTGAGTTTAGGTGGTGCGGTGTAATGATGTAAGGTAAAGGGATTCCGACGTACAAACTCGAGTAGATAGAATGTGGACATACCTTATAGTACGAGCTGATGTCACTCCGTTGAATGAGTTCAAGGTTTGGTGTACCTTGGTCGACACCAAATATCCTGAAGTCTAAGCATATTCACTAGGGTGCCTTGGTAGTCTCCTTTCCGGGCACTAAAGGAAATCAGAAGCACAGGGAGGACTTAACAGCAGGTTTAAGTTCGCCGCCAGATCCTTGAATGGACTTAGAACTTGCTTCCTGCAGACTTTTGGGACTGGCCTAGGAGTAGAGTGCATGTCTTGAGATTCTTGTTGACGGAACGTGGTCGAGATTGTAAGATAGTACCGCCAGGTTCTAGTCAAATGACACATCTCAAAGGCGAGAAATGCGAGTTCTGACATCAAACATTCGATTATCTGATGCACCTTTACCGGCCTATTCCAATCACTGAGCAGAACGAGTTTTGGGATTTAGCTCATATCACCACTTGGCTTGAAAGAGCTACATCTCAGGGATTCAGGGCAGACATCCTCTGTGCAAGCCGGTACGACATAGCTACCATGGGCCGTGAGACACGGAGTCGCACCCGGAAGACCGAGCAAGCCCCCAATGAGCTACCAAGCACTTCGTTCCTTTTCCTAGACACGCAGTGACTTGAGAGCATGAAATTTAGATTGAAGAAGTTCACATCCAATAGCCATCTTTCCAGAGCTCCTTGCTATATCCCTCGGTCAATTGCTCGTCCCCGCCGTAAGTTTCCTGCCAACCGACGAATCCGCGATCCAGAACGTATACTGTCTGTGGCTCCGTAGCTGCCGAGTCTTCCGCCGAGCCAGAGGAAGCCTTGGAGGCGAGATTCTGGTCGCGCTCTCGGAGATATCGAAGGGCAGCACTGGGTCCTCGTTGCTGTGATAAGGCGCAGTGGAATACAACCGTCTTCTTGCCTTCGAGGTGGCGCATGAGGGTGGGCATCCTAGCATCGAGACTTCTAGAGGGCATATTGATACACCCTTTGATATGACCGCCGAGGTAATCTATGGGAAGAATAGAGGTTAGCAGTGCAATCAAGCGGATTGCTTGGTCGGGGACAGGAACGGAGCTAACCATCGTCGCGAACGTCAACGACGGCCACAGACGAAGTGCCTGCAGCCTGCTCTGCCAATAGAAGAGCGGAGAGTTTGTCAGCAGTAATGCGCTGGAGACTTCCGATAGTCGCCATGGTTCGTGTTCGGCGGAGGAGACTCGAGGAAATGGAGATGCGTTCTTCGGCCAGGCGCACGGAATGGCAAAGTGACGTCGGGACTTTCTCGAAGTCAATCGCGACAGCTTTGATTTTTGGTGGGGAGCTTCGATGCGCGGGGCAAGTCCCTCCCATGTATCCCTGTCGCTCAATCATGGTGGGGTATCCCTGCAGTCTCGGCATGATTACATAAGGTCTGTTTTTGCTACTCTTCACGGATTCACCATCAACTTTAAACTCAACTTTTACTGAGGACTTACACATTGAACTTGCCTGCGACGTGACTGGGATATTGGACTTTTGAGTTCAACACATATTTTTACCTAATTTAGAGCTACCTGATTCGCTTCAACTTCTGGTTAATTTCAAGGGCCAGGGCCCAGGTCAGCCTTGCTTCGGAGTTCTGCAGTGCATATCCGTTTTTAGTCCACCCCAATCCGCAAGACGGCTTCTCTTAAAGACATGATAACATTAGACATCTGACTTAAAAAAGTCAAGCAGTCAGTCGCTGGCCAAAGGTGGCCGCCAACGCACAAATCGAGGTTGATGTAAGGGCATGGAGGCTTGGTCCCTTAAAGCGCTGATCTGCGTTGCGATCCGCCCATTTTCTCTCCGTACTCCATCTTGCTCGGTTTCGGGGTTTTAAATGATACAGGGTATTCTAAGAGTGAAGTCCTCTGAAGAAAAATTGCGAATGAGGGACGGATCCCAAAGTACGGCCATCGAACAGGTCGTTGTCCGGGACATGGCTCCGCGGCCCACCTTCAATCTCGGCCTCGGCGCTTGTTTGGAACGCCGCCTTCGATCTCAAATCATTATGGACCAAGCTACACCCCGAGACTTGGGATCAGTAATTTTTGTTTGTGCTACAGACTAAATGAGACTCTAGAGACAGTACCATTCGAGAGTCAACGAGGTCAACATCGTCATTTCTCTTTTGTCATTCAAGTTTGAAGTCACCCCCTGCGCCGATACTCGAAGTACGTTGTGTTAACACTGCCATCCCGTCATGGCCCGAGCTTTCAACGTCTCTGATGGATGTACGCCGCATGTCCAGGTCAGTCGGAGTCATAACGGAACAGACTCAATTACAGCCTCTGAGTAAAATCTGCTTATCTTAGGTTCTTAATTCGATCAATGGTTGCGTTGGACATAAATACAGAACTGACTTGGAGCGCAAACCCTCATCAAACGGCATCTTCCCAAATAGACCTGGCCACGTCTCTCACAAGAACGAGCTTTTCCCACATTCTGTCCTCAGTAGCAACACCATGGTTGATACTGAAGCTAGCGAAGCCACACTGGGGGCTCACGGCGAGCGAATCTGCCAACACATCTGACACGTTCCGTCTTTGCCCCTTCGCCATGACTTCAGCAGCCTCATAGACCCTCCTCACTAATACATCCTTGTTCTCAAGGTCTGCAACCTTCGTCGAAACGAGACCAAGAACCACGTTCTTTCCTTGCGGAACAAATCTCAACGGCTCAAAGTGTCCAGACACTCGAGGATCATCAAACTCCAGGTAGAATGTCTGATAGTTGAGCTTGGGAAAGACCTTGGCGGCGATCTTTTCGTAAGATCCTTTGGCAAAGGATGGCTGACCAGGCATATTGCCGCGACAAAGATGGATGCCCATATGCAGATCAGATGGTAGATCTCTCAGAAGTTGGTTGTGCGCCCAAATGTAGAGATCCAGCAATGCTTCAGGGTCAACGCCGTCGCCCCTGAGGCCCTCCCTGAACTTCTTGGTGACGAAGAAAGTCAAATTCGGGTCGTCCACCTGTATGGATCGGAGGCCCGCGTCGTAGAGAGCTTGGATCTCTGAACGAAATGCTGCCGCCAAGTCGAGAAAGTAATCTTTGTCAGAGGTGTAAACCCCAGGGGCAAATGCTGTGCCGTTTGCAAGGTACATGTGTTGCCAGGAGATGGACGGTATTGACATCTTACAATCCTTCCAGCGTTCTTGCGGGAGCGTCTTCTTGATCATCTCCCAGGCGGGAAGGTAAGCCGAGTCCACGAACTTGATCTTTCCTGTGGCGGGCACGGCGGAGAAGTGATTGTATCCCATCTTAGCTAACCCGATAAAGGTTGGCAGGTTGGGCCGGAAGTCTTGAGGAACCCTGAGGTCATCTCTCACCGTCATCCCCTGAAGATTCTCAAATAAGCCGCTGAAGAAGATAGTTCTCTCATATTCGCCAGAGGTGATGGGCCTAATATCGAGCTTAATTTGCTTCTGAACGGCGTACATGATAGAGGCAGATGTGGCAGCGGCCTGGTCTTCGGATAGTTTGCTGTCGTAAAAGCCCAAAGAGCCTCTTTCTTCGAGCAGGAAGGCAGGTCGAATGAGAGAGCCGACTTGGTCAGCTCGGAAGAGAGGCGCCATGTTAACACTGTCGCTGATTTTCAGGCAAAGCTCTTCGGACCTGGATGTCCCCTAATCTGTTGGACTGAACTGATCTTAAATAATTTTCTTCTATACCCCAGACCCTGCTAGCCCTTGAGGGCCACATGCCACACTGTGGGGAAAGGTGATACTCTTCTAGAGGAGACAGGCACAAACGATACGTTTTGACAGGGCCGCTGAAGAAGATAAGCAGGTTCATACCTTGATCTTCCTTCTTTCATTGGCTGAATGATCCAGGCAGAAATTTGGACGGGTGAGGAAATAGTGCCGGGGGCCAGTCCTGTTATGATGAGTGAGTAGCAAACATGTTTGCTTAATGACATGCGTATTGGACCAACGACAGCTAACGCGCGGAACAACCCTGCCGAAATGCTCCATCTTTCCCTAAGAGGAATCTCACCTGTCAGATTTATGTTGGTTCACTTTGGCAACATCCTGTTGGGAGTCTTACTGGTATTCCTACTCAGCGCTAGGAAGATTTCTTTTCGGTTATATTTTTCGTCTCATTCGACCAAAGTCCCTTTCGATGCTCTAGATCTGTCAGCCTCTATTATCATCCAGGGCTTTTCCTGGGACAGGCTGTGATTAGGTCTGAGTACGAAACTCTTCACTTGGATACCATCCTCTTGTAAAGCGTTACGTTACATCTCGTTGGAAACTACTTACTTACCTTGAGACAGATTGTCCTTCACACACCCTAGATCTTGTAGTACTGAGACAATCGCCCACTAAAGTGATTCTATCTTCTAACTACTGAATGAATTGCAGGCACTACTTCTAGAGTTCAAAACGAGGACGAAATTCGGAAGTGATGTCGGTCGTCTGGCAACAAAAACGAAATGCATGAGCAAATGCGCCCAGTTTGGAGCCTATGTGACAGACAATATGACAACAAATTCAAGTGAAATTCAAGACTTCAAGAAATGTAGAGACTCCAACTGCCTCAATATCTCTATCACAATACTTTTCTAGTTAAGTTGTGGGTCTTTAGTCACGCAAGTGCCTTAACCTCACAAAACCAAGGGTGGTTATCTTCACAAGCATCGATCTCGTTGCGGTACATGGGACTAAATCAACTATCCACAAGCTAAGATAAATTTGAAAGCAATTATATTTCTCGCGTAACTCATAGTCATCTTATCCGGGATGCGACATTTTGAGAGGGGGCTGATCTATCCAGGCAACTTTTCCCACTTCATGCCTATAACCCCGATGATGGAGATGACCGCGACAGCCATCGGCACCGTAAAAGTCTCTTTAAGTGCCTTATTGTATGCTTCAATGACAGCCGGAAGTAGATCCCGCGGAATCATATCTTTGAGATTCGTAGCCCCCATGTCCGCAATGGTTTGGCCATCAAGTCCTCCCGTGCCATGCAGATGCTTCGTTAGACCATTAGCAAAGACGGTATTCGCGACAGACATCAGGATAGCTGGCCCTAAATTCTGGAACAAAGTGACAGCAGCTGTACCAGCAGGTATATCAGAGAGTGCGAGGGTTGATTGGACACCCATCATCGGCTGCTGGGATCCCAGACCAATCCCCACGCCGGCGATTACGGGAAAAGTGACCCATTTGCTCGGACCGGTGTCGAGCTCAAAAGTCGTCATCAAACCAAGACCCAAAGACCCCAAAACGGTTGCTATAAGCATGAAGGGGTTGTACCACCCTGTGAAAGTGACAAGGTAACCGGCGGTTAGAGCGGCAAGAACTTCTCCGCCAACATAGGGAACGAGCTTGATGCCGGATTCTCTGGCAGACTCTCCCTTGATAGCCTGGAACCATATTGGCAGCCAGATATCAGCTGTGTAGTAGGCTGCATCAACGCATGCAGCGTAGAAACAAGCGAATGCGATGTTTTGCATCTTCATCAGGCGAGGAGGCAGGGCGGCGTTGTCTCCTTTCCACGTTTCAACACCAATGAAACTGATGAGGAGAACACCAAAGGCAACCAACAGTCCAATCATCGGGGCGCTGTTCCAAGCGAACTGGGATCCACCCCATTGCAGGGCCAATAGTAGACAGATCATGCAGGCAAAGAAGATTGAGAGTCCGAGAATGTCAAACTCCATGAGCTTCTGCTTGAGAGTCCTAGGATGTTTATGGTCGGGCTGCTGCGGTGGACGAAAGCAGAAGAAGATCAATGCCAACGTCGCGACTCCGAGTGGTATGCTAACGTAAAACGCCCATCGCCAGGAGAGATGGCTGTCAGTCAACGCTCCAGAAATAAGGGGTCCGATGATGCCACCGACTCCTGAGAATGCGCCGAGAAATCCAGTGTAGACAGCACGTTGACGAATGGATACACTGTGTGCGAGGACTACCCAGGCGCCGATGATGATGCCACTGCAGCCAATCCCAGTGATGGCTCGTCCAACAATGAAAACAATCGAGTTAGGGGCGCTTCCGCACACAGCCAATCCGACTTCTCTAAATGCGATGGCCACCATAAAGGTCCACTTGAGTGAAAAGAGCTCAAAGCACGTCCCGTAGACGAGTTGGAATGAGCAAAGCTTAATGTTTGTTAGCGGGAACGATGAGACTCATGAAAGATTGACTTGCGCTGAGCATGTAGGCAGAGCCATACCATCCAACATGTTGGAGAGAGTTGAATTGATTCGTGATAGCCGGAATAGCTGTAGCAATGAGTGTCATGTCAAGGAAGACCAAGAACACAGCCATGGCCAGTCCAAAAATTATCAAAACCAGCCTAAGGCCTTTGGGATAATCTATGCCAGCATCGTCGACTTCGTCCGAGTTGGCCGTCTCATCAGCTTCTGCAGGCTTCTCTACAGTCGATAGTGCATTGTTCCCTTTTTTGTCAACGATGACGTCTGGTTCTCCGGCATTGATAGAGCCGCGGTTCGAGCTGCTCGAGGAGGAATATTTCTGGCCAATGTGAACCATTGCTGTCTTCTCTGATTCAAATGGCGCCATGATGAGACACGAGTATAAACAAAACTCAAGGAAACTCTTGATGGTTTCTTATTCGAGTAAATGTACGGGAAAAGTATGAGAGTGTGAGGCGAAGTCTGCGTGTGAACCCGGGGTGTCCTGCCGAGGGCAGCTACAGTCGGAAATTATGGCGCCAGACGTTCCTAAATGTGAACAAAAAGATTTTCAATGCCATTTCGCGATGAGGTGGCAATTCACCGCTGAAAATCTAAGAGCTGACTGGGATTGATTCTCATTCTCTTGAATCCTATCACATTTGACTAGCACGTCCAGCATCCCGGCCCTCGGGAAAGCCAACCCGGACAATGCTTACGCTACAATACAAATCTCGGTGATCTAGACTTGCAGTCTGGACGAACTGGAGGGGTCGACCCACTAGTAATGTTGTTCCATCGTTCCTATCGGTTGAGCATCCTGGATTTAGACATGACCGACAGCCAAGGGGTTGTGTGTTGCCGGACAAACATCCGGGAAGCTTGGTGTCTAGTCTAGGGTAAGCGCTCATTGAGGAAATATGAGGCAAAATACAGCACTCCCAAGACCCGCGGATAGCCTTGGGTTTGTGATCTCCATCATCATTGGGTTGACATGGGTTGCACAACTCTTAGCGTCAATCCTTGCGGCGCAACTGTGGTTCAGCCCAGTCAGATACGAAGAAACACTCAGGAAAAGACTCTCATCCTAGACAGAAAGATACCGGAACAGGAAGCTGCTGATCAGTGGTCTCATCCTTCAACCAGGTATGTTGGGAACGCAACAAAATGAGTCCTTTCGAGTGCATCCGACAGCTTGGAAGTTGGTGAGAACTTCCAGTCGCTTTTCCAATTGATTGGCAGGATCGGACTTCCGAATCGCATAAGTGCGACCAATCCTCACCTTCCAGAGAAGGTAAAGGCTATTATGGCATGGCCCTCGTCTCCATATGTTCACTTCGGTTGACAGATCCCATCTGATTTCCTAACTAGTCCAAAAGCGAGAAGCCGTCAGAGAGGACTCGCAACGCCCGCAAAGACGAAGGACGAATCCGCTTTCTAGCCGAGACCAACATTCAGAGAAGAATTATATGCCCCACCCTCGACCTGCGATTTATTGCAGCTGCAATCGCTCACTACCGACATGGTAAGGCTGCATTGCCGTCCCATCTGAGATTCAAGGTAAGTCTACTTCAAGGCAAATCACAACTTGTCTCAATTACAAAGAGTTTTGACTGTTGAGCTTATTTAGTCGATATAATGGTTGAAATTTCTACCAAGCATAACAAGCACGAGAAGTTTGTGATAAATAACACAATTCGGTGTCTCAAAACCGATTTTTACTTCCCGTTCGAGAACTAGTCTCTCTCATACGTTAGCCTGTCGTCAACACATATCTCGCCCGAGGGATATGGCTAGATTGACGTGGATGGATCAACATCCCGACCATTCCCCTGAAACAGCACGGACAGAGGCTGTACATGTTCAAGAAAAAGGTTCCTGTCATCTGTACCCGGCGGTCTCGATTGGCCTCTAACTTCTCAATAGCCTCCTTGTGTGACGAGTCCTTCGTACGGCGTGGGTCCCAATATTCCAGGCTGCGGTGTTCCGACAATCACGGTGCTGACGAATCGCCCGTAGTCTTACCTCATTTCATGAAATTAGCTCGGTAACTGCGAAGAATTTGATGAGACTGTTGTCTACTCACCAAGGGTTAGTAGGGGGTATCGGCAAGGAACCTTGAAGGATGTGATGAAGCTTGTCCCGCAACAGGATGGAGGCGAGGCAACCACCATCCTAAGTCCTTACGCCCCAATACGCTGGGCGTGTGTGACCATCCCCTTGCCGTGGCAAATTCAGATGCTATGATGATGAAATCAGTCTATTGAAGAGACTTTCATCCTTGGGGCGCAGTCGAACCCCCAGAAGTGGTGTGCTCTCTGTGCCCCAGAACGACGGTCGACGCGTTCATCTATCTTTCTTGCATTGACGAAGACGACGAGTCGAAATACAGGAGTCTTAAAAGTTGGATGACCCACCCTCAAACCGGCC